TCTCAAGCTCTTTGACCGTTACTTGATAATTTGTTTTGTTTTTAATTCCTACCTAAATTGCAACAACTGATCTTCACAAAATTATTTAATGTTTAAAATATATACCGTTAAGATTTTATTTTTTGTTGATTATTCGGAAAATAATCAGAAAAAAAATCAGCGTGTATCCATAATTTTTTATATAACATATAATTTTGTTTATATTTAATATTTTATTTTACTTAGTAAGTACTTATATTATTTGATATTGTTTGATAAATAATTTTAATTTGTACTTAATACAATTTGTATATGTAAAAATAAATATAATCAGTCATGGCGACTGCCGATAGTAGTGAAAACTTAAAACTGGAATTATTGTATTTTTTCATTTTTGAATGAATAATATTATGACTTCCTACCTAATTAAAACGCACAAAACATTTAAAATGCAACTATTATAATAAAGGTTTTAATGATCAGTAACTTCAATAATAATTTTAATTAAAATTATATTTTATAAAATTTTATAGAATTTTAATTCTATAAAATTTCTATTAATCTAGGAGCTCGTTGCAAGAGCAGTATTTAGTATTAACAGTACATCGATTAAGCCGTTACTTTCGGAAAAATAAATTGAATTGCGGTACCATTGAGGTTACCCGGTCGTTACATGTATTGTGTTTGAGGTTGCAACTTATTGTCAGTTGCGATCTATTGTTGTTACGCAAACATCGTCCGTATTTTAAACAGGGCTAGTGATGCTTTGCTTTAAATGATAACCGTTACAACCGGCTCGCTTTAAAAATCACCGAGGAGTCTCAAATCTTCCATCCTTCGTTGGCGAGTTTCTGTGATCCCTTTCTTAGAAATAAACTCATTTCATTTTATTTAACAGTTGTCTCTTTACTGTATCATTATTCCATGAAATGTTTACAAGATGCTTTTTCTCCGGACTCGAGTTAGAAACTTCGGTGATAATAATAATGTTGATACAGGTTAACGGCTTTTGCATTCTTATCCCATACAATGGCAAATGGTCCGTAAATCAATATGATTATTACTGTTATATACTGTAGGTACTTAATACATTTCTACCATTTTCGGAAAAGTAAGAAAATATCTCGATAAAAATTGCTTATTTTTTTCCCTATTTCGCCTATTTTCCCATATTATATGTGCATGTAAATTTTTCACGTGGATTTTAAAGACGATGGGAGCTTTGTTGCAAAGTTCATCGATCTGAAAGGCGTAGGAAACGAGAGATGTCCATACGATGGCACATGATTCGAATTTTGATATTGCATTAATCGCAAAGGTGGAATCGATGAAAACAAAGAGGTTCCTCGCACTTTCTGAGTGGGCCATTGTTCTCGTCGTTGGAATTCCTCAGGATAATGACCCTTTCAAAAAGGGAACATTAATCATAACTGTACTTGCCTATTCAATTCCTAAGCACTGCATCTTATTTGGCCACGTAATGCACAAGTAAACAATATATACACTACTCGTAAGTGATGAAGTGTTTTATTTCCGAATGTTTTAACAAACTATACACGTTTCGTGCCGAAGTATCATAAGGTACGCATGTACCTATTTCGTCCGTAGCCAAGCGTAGCCTAGTAACGACGTTTGCAGTTCAATACTTTTTGTCGCAGTCGATTCGGCCTTTGTGCCATCCTGGTTTCTCATTACATTACATCAGTCGTACGTGCTTATTCGCACAGATGACTTTTGCATTCATATGTGTATATGTAATGTATATACATTAAATCATCAATACTTCCTTGGGAGCCGTAATTTTATGTGTTGCTTCATTGACGTTTGGTCTGCACGCAAATGTTGGTCCTATTATTAAACACAATTAGAGATATCACGCATACAACCGCACATACCTATAATATGTGATACATCACCTATAATATCGTATCTTATAACAACCGTACAAGATGAAATTTATCTTAATATATAATGTCGCTTTTTAGACACAATATCAGCGTTTGGTGCTTTTCAATAGACGCTATATTGTCTACCGTCAGCAAATACTATGTCATTGTTTTAATTAACTTTATCCTCAATTGTAGTTTTAAAATATCTTCTTTCTTCATATCGCAACCGTTTACATAGTAACGAATGTACTTTAGCTTCGTATAATTTGTCTCGACAAAAATTTTAAAAAAATGTATAGTGCCGTAATTAGATTCCGATGCAAAAAATGTCTTTTTAGCCGACTACACGACAAATTAATTTATAAATTTCAATTTGTTTAGAATTTCCCGTCGTTTCAAAGACTTCTCCGACGATCCACGGAGCTTCATTCTTAGAACCTCACTATCCGCAACTTATTAAAACATGAAACCTTGTATAGAAACCGGTTCATTTCAGCCGTACAGTTACAAGTCGTTCCCCTTGCTGACTTCAGTTTGAACTTCCTAAGGAGGCTGAGAGAAAAGTTTTATTTACTTGTTGGATTCGATCGTTTCAATTTAATTCAGAAGTAAATAATTTTTACCTTTTAATTGAAATTGATTAAAATCGAAATAAATTTCTTTATTACTACTATACTTATGTTTACTAACCGAACCTACCGAATGAATTAAGGAAAAAGCTGTTGAAATTAAGAAATGAAGAAGAATTGTGCTCAAATGGATGATTTTTAAATTTGTTTAGTGATTTTGACTGTTTATTAATAAAAAAACAAGAATTAAATTTCAGTGCGTAAACAAATTGATTAACAGGGTTTTAGCACTTAAACGAAACTGGTTAGTAGTACTAAGCCCAATGTATTTACCTTGACATCAAGTTTATTTGTTATTCCCAAAGTTGTACAGTAAAAAACTAATCAATTACTAAAAGGCTGTAGAATAATTAGGATGAATTAATATTAATTTTCAAAAAATTATATTACTTTACAAGAAAAATATAATCGCAGTAACAAAAAAATTCATTGCCTTCGTATTTTTAATTAAACTGATTAGATAATTCAATTGAATCAATTGATCCCGTGGGAATGTTAACAAATAAATATCTCAAAAAATAAATAAAAAAGCAAAGGCAAACTATAATATTTCACTGCATACGAATTCGAATCGTTAGCCCATACGTTTAGACAAGATATTCATATTTCAATATAAAACTAAATTAATACATTACTCAGCTCGTATTAAGTTAGGGTTTATGACCGAGACAACGACGTAAAGCGGCGTTTTCAAGAATATTGTTTACATATATGTATGAGATTATTAGCACGACGTTCATACGAGTGGTCGGTGCTCTATGACCTAGAACTTGGCGGTGAGCGGGCAAGGGGACTGGTTCCGTGAGTCACATCACAGCCGCCGATTTCTGAGAAACTGTGTCGTTATATTAGCGTTTCCTCCTGAACCCGAAAGCGGACGAACATGCCTACCTTCGCCTCTGACTCACAGATTGCTAGTGACCAATTTATATAATCTTTCCGGATAGCGTATCCGGTAATCGGTTGAGTATGACATAACATAGTCCTTCTGCGGTTAGCTACGAGCTCGATATTTCTGACTCTGATTATATCTCTTTAATAAATATGTTGGTCCGCTTTTGAATCAAAGGAACAAGATAATGATATCGTACAAAGTTGTGAAGTTGTATGTACTTTCTAGTTCATTTCGCAGATGTTTTTCTAGCCTTTTAATCTATATAAAACAAATAGGTATATACTATACATGTACAACTAATAGCCATACCAATGATATAAAGGAAAATATGTAGGAAAGTAATTATATCGAACATTGGAATACTATAGCCCAATATATGGGATTTAATTTTTTAAACCGCTTAAAAAATAATTGAAAACCTATTAATTTTCATAAATTCGTAAAATAATAATTGACATAGATATTCGTTATGTTAACGGTTGAAAGGTTCAAGGTACTGTCTGTGTGCCTAGAGCATACATCCGCTGATTCATAAAGCAAATACCCGTATTTAATTACTACTACACAAAATGACGCAAACATTCATTGAAAATATATATACCTTTAGTGACCAATACCGATCAACATATGCGCATGAGTCAACCAAATTATTAAGCTGGAATTATAAAAAGTGACAAAGTATTTCCCACACTACCATCGATTGCGAACATTTTATCTCGGTCGGGTTAAATCAAGCATTCATATTTCTGAATGAACGTTATACTACCGAACGTGGGGGCTACTACAGAATCACTTGGATACAATTTAGCATGATTTCGAGACGCATGTTTACGGAGTTCTGAGAATTGAATGATTCAGCGGCAACTGTGGAGATCACTTCCGATCTCGATTACGATAAGCGATCGGCATTCCCTGCCTCAAGTGGAATTGCACTGGAAGTGACTAAGAAGATCCATTAAGCTATGTATGTATTGTTCAAAGTATTTATTTTTAGGTACTTTTATAGAATTACTCCTGATACATTAGTCATCTCAAGAATGAACACCTCAAGAGGCCAGACGGACATGACTTTGTTACTATTAAAGAAATAAGAAAAAATTCTACTAGATCAGATGGGATCTATTATGATACAATCGTCTAATATTTTTGTATTTATAACTGTACTTAGGTATTATAAAATATTTCTTACATCTATTTTAGTGATTTTTCTTTACGCCTACTATCTTTTATCGCTACATCACCTAGTAAGTTGAATGGTAGAGAATGTCTCAGGTTTTTTTTTTATGTGAGAAAGTGACAAACGAGCTGATGGTTCATCTGGTATTTAGTGACAACCGCCGCTCATGGACATTTGAAACTCCTGTAGGGTTGCAAATGCGTTGCCACCTTACAATAAATTGGGCCCCGGCTACCTCACTCACGAGGCGAAACACAGAAGTGTAACACTTCTACTTTACGCCGGTCTTCTGTGAGGTCGTGGTACTTACCCGGTCGGACCTGCCCATCCGTGCGACAGTGAACACTGTTGCGTGGCCCTACCACTGTTGCACGTCCGCCTATACACAAGATTTAGTAAAAGTTAAATTAATTAAACGAGAAATCACTCACCATGGCTTTGTCCGTATCACCGAACGTTGGTGCAGCGCTGCTTCTTGTCAGAAAAACGAACGCCGCCGCCATTGTCCACAATATTCTTAAGCTGCTTCTTAAGCTTACGAACGCCATGCTGCTTCTCGATATGCTCTCTTTTGTACTACTAAATAAGCTCATTTATTTATACTTTTATAATATTCGAAAAATATATCTTTTATGATGCTACAACGGACGGATATGTCATTCCTTTGTAAATTTTCTATTATTCTAACAAATGAAAATACATTTGTTAATTTCGTTGATGTGTTCGAGTGCGATTAGATTTTTGTGTATGATCTGTAACAAAAAAAATGAAAAAGTGTTAGTGTTTTCAACATCTTTAAGGTAAATTTAGAGACGCTAGAAGAGCTTCAGATAGTTCAAAATCTGAAAAAGTTATTGGATATCACATAGGTATATTCTATAACTTTCTACTCCTTCAACGCGGAACTGAGTAAAATTTCATATAAAACAAATGTATCTGCCTAGCGATGCGCTTAACACCAAGAAGCGAATAGTGATAACATAAAGAGGTCATAATCTCTGGGATACGTCAAGAGCTTAGTATACGTATGGATGATTCATTCGCTTATGCATCGTTTACTTATTTACATAATTAACATTTGCATGCGTAGAAACTCGTTATTATGGAACAATGTTCGTAAGAATAAAAACTAGAAGAATTTACCGTGATAACTTCAACAGTTGTTGACTAACATCCATCAATAAACTTTGATCCAAAGTAATTGCCTCTGACAATAGTGCCTTTGATTAATTGATAATCGATTAACAGGATAGTTGCACCAGTTAAGGAAAATTTACAAAACAACCGTCTATTTTTCTGTAGCTGATGCATTTAATAACAAAATCAAGGAGAGATTAAATAAATAGCACTACACGGCAAGCAAAACTAATTAATTATAATTAATAAAGCAACAAATAATTGCAATTTTGAAAAACGAATCAATTAAATTATATTTACGATTTGAACGAAATTATATTTAAAAATAAAAAAAGAAATAAATATAGTTTAATTTAATATTGTGTAATCGCGTTAATACAAAAAAATGTGTATCTAATTTGATATTGATGATTTAATCTGATTCAATATTCCAAACACCTTATTTGGATCAACTTCATATTTATATGGAGTATAGTGAAGACCATTGTGCAATAAAAATAGATTTTTTTTTTCTTGATGTGTGGTACTCATATGGTTGACCTAGATTTATCAATAGCAATGTAAATGTCGGTCTTGTCTACAAACTTCATTATCAATGGACACAGATAAATTGTTCCATTCTAATTAACGCTTGTACTTTACGGATATTAGATACAGATATTAAAGTTTGTCCTTCGTGTCTCTTATCGCAGTTTACTTCAGAATAATTTTTGTTTATTGGAAATTTGATAGGATTATGATTCGATTGACATGCATTTCACGATTTATTGGTGAAAAAAGTTAAATTTTAAATTTTCTTCAATCATAGTAACAAAACTTCGCTACCGGTTTAAATAATGTTATTTAACGTCTTATTATTTATAGGATATTATTTTAGTTTCAAACAATTGAATAATGTATTCCCAGTATTAAAATGTTAATACTACAAAAAGATATACTCCACATGGTACTCATTCAATATATCTTATCTCCAGGCATTCCATAGATTGCTTATCGCTCGTTTTTCTTGTAGCCCTAACCAAATAAAGCTAAAGAAACAATTAGAAACAGTTGCAGGGAATGCATTATTTACTGCCACATATTTAACAAGACATACAAAGGTAATTGTTAAATGTGTCCACTTTGACATTAGTACCTATGCTTAATTATCTAATATACATATTTTCAACTATTTGTTCTCTATTAGTTTAATTATAACGTTCAAGGGAAAAATTAAAAATTGCAAAATCAAGTAATATTTAAAGTAAATTTCGGAACAAATCGATCAACAATATCTTATGCAATCAGGTTTTTAGTTACCAAGGCTATTTTTTGTACGTGATCAGTGTTCAAATACAATTAATTTAGATATCGTCCAAATAAACAAAAGAAGATACGTTAAGAGTTTAATGAATCACCAATTCTTTTCTGTAAATAGAGCAATATGGCACTTCATTCTTAGCTTTATAATGTATACAATATATATGGTCTTTGGTCAGTCCACATATTCCTCAGGTCAAATCTTGAAAATATTCGTTAAGAAACTAAAACAAGTATTAATGATTATTGTATATACCGTGCCCATTCACCACTAAAACTATAGTTTTAAGATCAACAGAGGTCATATCCGAAAGCGCGACTCGAAGAGAGGTGTCGCCAACAAATTTTCCACTCGCCAGAGCGTGACCGACGGTTTCACCGGCATTGGATTCGGATGTCTTACCAAACACCATTTAACGAATTTTTTTTATCACACTACTCTTGCCCATTCAAAACGCTATTGCAATGCAAATTTTGGCACCGAAATCTGGTTAAAATTTAACAAAAAGAAATGATCGCATTATTATCGAAGTGTGCTTTTTTTGTCATTTGTCCCAACAAGTACGTAGATGCATCCATTTCGTGTTTAAAACACACACAGTTTCTGTGCTATTTATGAATTCACACAAAATCGACATCAATCATACAACGAGTATTTTATATTAGCTCACAGAGGTTTTCATTAAAAAAAATTAAAGGTTTGATGGCTCAGTTCCGGGCGTTCGCTTTTCATTCAAGCAACAACGAATTGGTGGATTGCAATTTTAAGTTCTGACATATCACGCGCTTAGCGGAATTATCTTTTGGGAAATTCCATGTTACTATCGAACTAAAAATAAAAAAATATAGTGGGACATATGTCGACTATTACTTGACTTACTTTTTTTACTAGAAATGCTGAGCGCGTTCTAAGCGTTAAGCATATGTTTGGGCCATTATAGAAGCATTTAAATTTACCTTCATGTATATTGCATTCATTCAATTGTTAGAATTATGTTTAAATGTTATAACTTTCAATCTCTCAATTGTTAAATAATAATTATAAATAATTAATTAATAAAAATTATTAACTTTAAGTTTTTTTTATGTGAAAAGTCGCCAAACGAGCAGACGGTTCACCTGATGGTAAGTGCCCGCCGCCCGTGGACATCTGCTACACCCAAGGGTTACAGATGCGTTGACAACCTTTTGAAAATTGGGCTCCGGCTACCTCACTCACCAGACGAAACGCGAAAGTATTTGTCATACTTCCACTTTACGCTGGTCTTCTGTGAGGTCGTGGTACTTACCCGGACAGGCCTGCCCATTCGTGCAACAGCCGCGCCTGCTGCATGGCCCTATCACCGTAAAATTTCGTCCATTCTTGCCGTCAATAAGTCTTCTTTAAGGATTAATATAAGGATGGGAATAAAATTAAACCCATTCCTGTTTATTTACTTATTTCAATTTCCGCTATACAAGTTGGTTGAAGCGCAACGAGGGAATTTAACTTAAGAATTAAATTAAGAATTTAATTTAAGAAAAGGCTTGAGCCGTCTATTTTAAATTTTACAAGCATTTTAGTTAATCAATCACTTCTTATGATCACATACAAACAATATCTTATTTAATTATTTATATTAAAAACGGCAAGAAATCAAATTCAGAAAATGACGAAACGTTGCGTTCAGGTTCACCGCCTTAAGGATGTAGATGAAACGTACGCATGCGACCTGTCTACATTTGCCGCGATAGTTTATTATTGCAGGGCCTAGTGCATGCAAGAATATTAAGCAGCTTGCGCTGGGAGACGTTTCTCTTGGGGCTGACGCGTAGATTCGCATCAGCACGACCCTGAAAACACTTCCTTCTTCCGGACACTCTTGATCAATACCAATAACATTATGTTCGCAGTGTCTCTATCGTAAATTAAATCAGAATACATACATAAAACTGGCATGATTAAAATAAAATATCTCTGCAAAAAGACTGGAAATTTGGTTAACTTTATAGAATTATTAATAAAAAATCTCCTATCTAGTCTAGCGACATAAATTGTTACAAATAAAGATTGGTTTTAAAATAACACATATGGATTTAGATATTTATTTTATTGTATACGTATTTTTTTTTATAATTCATCAATTTAATTACTCATGTTATTATGGTTTAATGGGAATAATATTCGATTCGGGATAATAGTGGCGTTATTCAACTTGAGTCAAAATTTTGGTTTAACCAATGTTCCAAACGTGTTTCCATAACGATTACAAAGTTCATTATAGAATAAAGCACTAACTCATTGTATATAAAAAGGTAAGCATATAAAATTACGCTGGTGCTAAGTATGCATGAGTCACGGCTAGCTACTCGGATACAAGTGACATCTAACAAAAATATAAAAATATATTTATGTTTAATTCCTTTCTGCTTTCCGATTTTACTTTAACGCTATGATTCATACTGGACAATATAAGAAGCTTTCATGTCTGTGAGTTGACATAGATTAAGCTATTGACGTAAGACCGAGTTTAACTGTCATATGTGAGAATTGGAACCCACTACCTACAATGAAAAATCGGCATCTTGACCACCAGGCCAAATACTACTCTTTAAGAATGATAAAAATATTGAAAAACAAAATACCTCTATTAAACAAAAAATCTTGTTCCATTTAGTAAAGACCTTTTACGCTAAGAAATTCTCAACTCGACACAAGTAAGATCAGTTCTTATCAGCACGATAACGCGTACGGCGTTATCCGCCGAATTTATCTGATAATACTGCACATGATATTGTTCTACTTCGTTAAACAATCATCTATAGCATATTGGAAATAGAATCATTAGGTTAAAACTCAAATGTAAAAATAAATTAACGTGTCGTTTGCGCATCTTATTTATTGTGTATCTTATAATTTGATGTATACACAAAAGCCTCTTTGAATGTGATAACGTAGCGGACAATGCATTATTGTTGTATTATGTTGATTATTTATTCGGTTCAGGTAAAAAGGTTGGCTACGGCCAGCGAACTCGCCATTTTTAAACGTCCATCGTAACCACCGGAGGGTGTATAACTTTGTCAATGGCACGCCTATAAGGAACTTTAACAACTTTTCTCAACAACGCGAATTTATATAAAGACTGGTACACCTTCTGAAATTATCGAATAACTTTGAAGACGAGAACAACTTTTTTCAACCTATTTTATACAATCGGAATATTAAATTAATAACGACTTCTGTCAAATTTTCGATTGTTTTTTAATTTGTTTTAAAATTCATCAATTATCAAATTTGAATTCTATGCAAAGATTACAGATAATAAATAAGCATACTAATAAAATTATAAATGGCAGATAGATGAAGATCGCGAACACATTTTAATTATACTCACTTGTCTTAAAAATATGTCCCGACGGAGACCACGCAATCCTTACCGCCCGAAACATTCAAGTCTATTCCACTAGTGCGATCACGCCGGTAAACTCTTCTAGCAACTCTATAGTAGTAAAAGAGTCGATGTAAACAACACAACGCACCAAGACACCGAAAGTCCCGCGATGTTCACTTTTTCTCTCTTTGCAATTGCGCGAAATTTCAAAGGGAACGTGCGTGTCGCGTGGCGGGAAACTGCGGCTGCGATCGAGGCGCCTCGGGCACGACCTACCGCAGTCCGCGACTTTGGCTGAATGTGCTGCGCGGGGCTCGGTCCACTTATAAAAGTGCGCCTCGCCGCCCGCCGTCTCCTGCCGGCGCCGCGAAGCCTCCACTCGCCCCTTGCAACTGAACTTACTTACTACAGCGAAGCTCAAAGTGCTTTCGGCGAAAGTACCGTTCCGACACTTTCTTGCCGCTCATCGTCATTACCGCGAATTAAATTAAATACGAAAAACAACAATAATAGAATCATTATTATTTAATTTGGGACGCAATTATTTAAGAGAACTTTCCAGCCCCATGACTAATGAATGAGTTACGCTAGTTTTTATTGTAAAACTTAATGAAGATTGGAAATGTTTAAAAACATTTAATGGGAATGATAGAGTTGTGCAAAGTATAATGTAAAGTCGCGAATATACATATGTCGAAAAACATCCGCAGTCTTCTTGTTTTAGCCAACCAACCTAGTCCTATAGACCAAATCACATCTGCCATCAGACGTTAATGTTGCTGCTTGAGATAGAAAAATGGACATAGCCTTAACTGTCTGTGACATGGCCACACAGCCGTTACTGTTGCACGAATGGGCATTCTCATCCGGGGAAGTACCACTGCCTGATAAAAGACAGGCGCAAAATAGAAGTGTTATGCTTCTGCGTGTCGTCTGATTCGTGAGGTAACCGGGGCCCACTGTACTAAATGGTGACATCGCTTTTGGAATTCTTAGCAGTTGCAGATGTCCATGGGCGATTATCAATTAACATAACATGAACCGCCTAAGGGTTAACTCCAGACATTGAGCGCTAGCATCATAAGCTAGCGCTCAACGTCTGGAGTTAACCCTTATAATTTATTTTATAACTAGCTACTGCCCGCGACTACGTCTGCGTAGAATAGCCTGAAGGCGTAACATTCAGACAGAAAGACAGATATACATAATATATGTATATAAATTATAGCCTATGTACTATTCTGATGTATATGCTATATCATTGTAAAGTTTCACTAAAATCCATTCAGTAGTATTTGCGTGAAAGAGTAACAACGATCCATCCATACATACAAACTTTCGCCTTTATAATATTAGTAAGGATATTACTGAAAGGAAAATTCATTTCAGTACTGTCAATAATAGTTTAACATTGACCAAATAGAGTTTTATGTGTGGTGAACATTATCTTGTAATATCTCGGATAAGAAAATCAGTTTAAAACTTATAAACACTGAAACAGGATAATGTTTTCTATCCACGTGTTAGGAACATTTGCTCTAAATCATTTTCTATAAAGATAAGTGCTTCCGACCTACGCATAACCGTAAGCTTAAAAATATATCTACATATTTCTATTATATAAAGTCATCAATGCCTTTACCTTGAACGATACGAACAAACAATTGTAACATTTGTAATAATAATGAATTTATTGTGGATACGATTGAATTTCCATTACAATTTTGTTGAGTAAGAGTTATTACTATTGAATTTCGATAGAAATCCAATAGTAATAATTCGTACCCCACAATAGTTTCACCGAAACATTTCTGTGTGTACCGATTATTTTCCACGAAGAGTATGTACGGTGCTCCACGTCCTTGCCTTTCGTCATTATCGTTGGTTATCATGCCAATGGCTAACAAAGAGTCGCTGCTGTGTTGTGTGCTGTATCGACATAACCTTCACGGGACCTTTCCGACAGCGCCATGACAAAGCTATTGTATGCGATGACTAAACCGTAGGGTGGTTCCTGAGTTTGGTGGTGGCGGCGTAGCGCTTTGGTGAAATCACCAGTGGTGGCCGAGGTCAAGGTCGCCTTTGTTAAGGGCCGTCCCTTAAGGCGAGCGTTCAGCTGAAGCACATTTAAAAAAAATTATGTATAATATAATATGTAAAACATAAGTTTAAAATTACAAATATTTAATATAATTTTTGGAAATATCTTGAAGATGAATGTATAAATATACATAATACGACCCGCCCCGGCTTCGCACGGGTGCAATGTATTGTACATATAAACCTTCCTCTTGAATCACTCCATCTAGAAATAAAACTGCATCATGATCCGTTGCGTAGTTTTTAAGATCTAAGCATACATAGGGACAGACAGACAGCGGGATGACCTTATTTTAAACTATGTAGTGTTAATATAATAGCTTCGCTATCTCTCCGCTTTCTATTTATAAACAAGGAAATAAAATTCCATCGTAACAGAATAATTGCCTATTCTTGAAAATTTCAGTTTTCCTGCATTGTAAATTTCCGTTATAAATAAGTGCATAACCGACTGCCTGACTGTCGAGATATTTAAACAAATGTGAGAATGTTCAAAAAAGTTGGAAAAATAATAAATCTGACTAGTTCAATGTGAAATAGTTAATAAGGTCTTTTTAGGATTAATCCGAAAAGTGATCATTTGACATGAATATATTTTATACAAAAGATATAACGGCATAGTTTTAACATTTTTTTGCATCCTGTATTTTGTGTACAATAAATAAATAAATAATATTTAAACATACAGTTTAAATTAATCGATTTTTTAAGTATTTATCGCGTTTATTTTTAAGTTTAATTTTCGACCTTTCGAACCCTTTTAGCGTTCCATGGTTACGGGATAGACGTTTCATTTATATAATTATAGTTATTTTAAATTTCATATAGCAATATGCGTGCGTTTAACTACGACATGTCATCTAAGGGCCATCGAAGTTGCGGTGCGGACCGAGACCCCGATGGCCGTCGACTGTGTTTTTAGCTAATCGGTGGCTGGGGGCGGTGAGAACCGCCCTGGAACGCGGGTGTACCTTGTGTACGCGTTGTGTTGGTCTCGCCGTGCTCGGATGCGAGGGCGAACTATTGTGTTTATTGTTACACTAGCTGTGGGTGTAGTGTTATCCGGCGGGACCCCCGGCGGTGGGTCCGGCGTATCTAAGTCCCCTTCCTCGACCGGGTCGATGAGGACGTTTCGCGGGCGATGCTTGTTGACGTTCGCGTTTGTGTCGGGTTGGTGCAATATCTCGTTCGAATCATCGTTGTAAGAACGATATTCGAAATTGTCTGTAAGCTGTAACAATAGATGCACCAAGCTTTGCTTGAAATGCGAGAAGACAATGTAGATAAAAGACTCAGATCAACATCAGATTTTTGTCAGTGTGGCAATGAGCCATTTAACTTGGTGGTTTGGTGTTGGCATCTGGGCACGAATCCGGAAGACTTGGGTTCGATTCCCGCAGTGGCGAGAAACTTTTCGTCGTTTTTTCTTCAAATTTTAATGTTTCAACTTAAGTGCAGAGATTAGCACTATAAAAATATTAAATATATAGTTAAATATGTTACGCTTTGGGCACAATAGGCTTGGCTATGAAACAGTATTATCTATCTATAACTGTATTACCTAAACAGCCAAAAGACCTGAGAGCTTGTTAGTTTGTTGTTCTGTGTTCTCAATCGTGTTTCAATTTAAGCGCTCATCTGATAGTAAGTGGTTGGTGACATCAACAACACCTGGAAGGCTGCAATTCCTTTGCCAGCGTTTGCAAGTATGTTCTCCAGTTACCTCACTCACAAGACGAAACGCACAAGATTAAAGATTTCTCCTACAACGGTACTCTTTGAAGCAGGCGTATATTCTCGGAGTTATTCTTGCCATAACTGATGGTTTTAGTAGACTCTACCAAAAAAAAGTTTTGAGTAGTAATAAAAATATTTATGATGCATAATTGAATTGAAAATATTTATGGTACATATATGATACATATATATGGTACATATATATAAACACAAAATTTGGTTGAACTCGATAAAATTTGTTTGAGGACTAGTAGCTAAATGCACTTAACGCGTGAATCAATATTTACTGACATTGAATCAGGCAGTGACCTGCTACGCTTGACCTATGCGGTCATTAACAACTAACATGAAATGTGAACTCTACAGTTTGTTTTTCCTTCGAATGATTCACCTACAAGTATTGAATTAAGTGTCAAAACTAACTAACTCTAACTCTTTTGTTTCCGCTTCAAACATCGGAAAGCTATCAATTATGAAAATAAAATTCAAAGGAAATATAAATTGTTTCTCTTGACGACCAGGAAGAATTATGTGTTACGCGTTAAGCATTCCTGCATGTGCATGAGTAGGTACATAAGTATCATCCGAGCGTTGAGTCAGAGCCGAGAACCAGTTTGGGAGTAAACATCAAAAAAATTGTCCGAAACAATAGATATCACGGGCCCCACGGAGTCGCGTCAGTTGGCGGTCAAGTAGAGACAAAAAAATTCCTACCGAATTCCTTCACGATCCGAGGTTTTTCAACCCAAAACTGGCGACCGCGCCCTCGGCGATGCTATTCAACCTTCTTCGTCTCAATATTCCACGTAAACAAACGCGTCGTGCACTTTTCGCCATAGTTCGGCTCGACATGTGGCAAATCAGTAAAAACGTTGATATGTGTAGTGTCCTTCATAAATAGGGTTATTTTTCTTCTTCGCAACATAGCCGTTACCCTAAAGCACCACGCAAACAATTCAAGCGTACACTTTATAGCATTGTGAATTTCTGATTCGGTCATAAACCGAACGATTGTAGTAAACGCATACGTATATTGGCGGGTGATTCGAATTTTAATCGGCTCGTGCAGTGAATGCATGAAACGCGATAGAGTACAAAAATACAGAAATATTTTAAATAATTCCAGTGTCCATAAATCTAACGGAGCATTAAAATAAATCGTGTTAAATATAACAGTGTCAGTGAATTGTGGACGAAGGCGCCGCTGTTGAGCTAGGTAGGCGCCTAAAAGACAACTTATGTTTCATGTAACGCATAGTCCGTTATTAAAATACGAGGGACTATATCAATCACTTGAGAAAACTCAGCACGTTTTCAATTTTTTTTTATTTTCTTTAACAATAACTGTCTTCGTCTTGATCGACTCTTATGATGGTAAATGCCAAAGGATTACGTCTAAATAAAGTCTATACAAATCATACGAAATGTTAACTCCTGCTTTTTTCTTTTACTATCTTTAAGTAAGCTTAATGATGACTCACGGCGTTCTGAGTAACCCTTGCCATTATCAATTGCCTCGCGATTTATGGTGCTTTACACCGACGATGGATCAGCTTTGACACATTGCGGAAGATGTGACGTGCAAAGCGAGACCGACCTCTAGCTAGCCGATTGTTTTCATAGAAGCTGAGGATTGCGTGTGTTCGTTTCCGATCAATCAAACGTTTTCCATTGTACTGTAAATACAGCGTTTAAAAGAAGTTTGTAAACAATATATTATGTTTTATAAGACCACGTGCGCATTATTCGCCACGTGTGTCCATTATCGGCGGCTCCTAATTGACTGTTACAATTACTTCTCAGCAGAAATTAATTAACGACTTCGGATGACGTTCTATGTTAATATTGAACGTTTGTGAAAATATAACATTTATAAAGTTGATATAAGTTTATAGTCCACTATTTTTTTGCGAATAATTGGCCCTAATAGATATCATAGCTTATCATTTATCTTGTAACATACTGTACATATCGTTAACGAACATTTTTATGGTAACTTACAAATTTATTTACTAACAATTATTAAGTAAAATTCGACGTTTTATAAGAACGCACAAGCGTCTATATGAATAAAGATATTTTGAATTGAATTGAATTGTATTAATTCGAAAACATAGATTTTCTTTTCAAATTGTTAATAATAATCACCGAAAATCACTTCTTCAAATATCACTTCACATCAAAACAATTTCTTTAAGACAAATTAATATAATAGAATATTGTGAAACTATATAGAATATGGACGATCCGATTTGCGTAGTGGATTGAACCAATCTCTTGCACCAGAGATTGTGGAGTCGATCCCCACAGTAAAAATATTGCGTGAAGAATATAATGATTTGATAGTATCTAGGTGACATGTTTATAATATGTATTGATTTTCAAAATAAATGTATCCTTATCAGTTCTGTTACCTAGGTCTCATTGCAAATAACCATGGCCAAGGGCTTTGCTTAGTTTGTGCTTGAAATCTTAGTGATATGACCTGCAAAACAACAAAAGAAATATTACGAAAGCAAGGATCTATATCAGCAAAAAAAAAGACTTAAATGCGAAGCGAAATGACATAAATTTTATAAAGGTTATGGACCAAAACGTTCACGAACACAACTGCAACGCTTCACACAAAACTCATATACAATACCATGGCCCCGATATACAAACAATGGTATGTTTTTCAGCGTTTGAATAACTGAAACAAAGGAATTCGTGCTTATTACGCTTTAAGCTGTAACTGTAAATTTTGTAACAGTCTCGTTACATAAAGCGGTGTATAATGCCTCTGTGGACTATTTTGTGACTCACCCACAGCCGTTAGCAAAATTCGGCATAACTGTTTCACATTCACCTAATCGATTATTTGAGTGAGTCTCGTTTACTATTTTTCTCCTTTCTGCACTGTCCTCGTTAATACGTTCTCAAATTAGTACTTACTCCTTTTGCCAGGTGAAAACTGCAAAACCCGTCTCTGGATCCGGTAGAGGTATCATGTTGAAGTATAATTCGAATATATATTAACGATCAAAAGCTATAGGGTAACCTAGTACTATCAAAGTCAAAACGAATAACAATTTGAAGGCTTAGGCTTGCAATGATAGTCTATGACAATAAGCGCTTTTCTTTCTCGCTTTTGTCCGGTTTTTTAAATTACAAAAATTAGAAGGTTTCGGAAATCGCATTGCCACTTTATAACTAGTTCTTTATCTAATGACATCACTATGAGATTCGAGATCTGTATCTAAAACTTCAGCTATATATAATAAAGTTCTATCGATGGTATGTTTGGCGCAATGGCTGCATATCGGTTACTGCACTACGTGTCACGGGTTCGATTCCCGCACGGAACAAGTATTTGTATGACCTACAGATAATTATGTCTGTGACCGCCTAGACACAGGAGAATTCCTAGTGTGGGACAAGGTTTCAGAAAAAAAAAGAATTATAATCAATATGCAATAACAAAGCATTAAATTCTAATAAAGGATGCAATAACAGTAATATATCGACGATCCGATTGGCGTAGTGGATAGCGGCCGTGTTCCCTGCGCCAGAGGATGTGGGTTCGATCCCCACTACTGGAAAATATTGTGTGATACACAATATGCTTTTCTAGTATCTAGGTGGTTACATATCTACAATATGTATTTATTTACAAAAGAAAACTATGTTTAAGTATGTTTATCAGTTATCCATAGTTACAATCTTTGCTTGGTTTGGGACAAGATAACGTTGTGTAAAAGCAAGTCCAGAAACATTTATTTTAATTTTAAAATAAAGCCTATAAATTCCTGTGTAATAATTTTATGACAAATATTTAAAGAATTCTTGAACGAATCTCCAAAATTGTATGAAAGTATAAAACAGGATAAGTTATTGCAACTCATACTTATCGTTAGGTGTGAGTGTCAGAGTATCCCCATCCAACTACATTCAAAATGATTCATCGTAACCATATCTCTCCGAAATTAAATCCCGTTTAATTAATTGTATTTTCCTGACAAACCTCATTTCTATATAAAACAAAAATTAATTTACAAAATAAATTTACCCATTTTAAAATTAAATCAATAGGTATTTGGTAATTACAAACCCACATGATCCATCATTCATTTGACGCAATTGAATTTAGTATTTCCTTGTTCAAAGTTCACTGCTCACCATAAATGCATTGTTATATAAAATATGTTATATCAAACTTACTTTTTTAAAAAAACTTAAATGTTTCAACAATTAGATGAGTTCTAGTAAAATAAATCACTGCAATGAAATATTATAAAAATTAACTTTAACGTAAAACAAACCTTGCCGTAAGGTTTTTCGTAAATCTCGTAAATATTGTTATACTTGTGATGTGTCGATTTAAGTATAATTTCGTTAAACATTGGCACCTTCGCAATTAATTCCTTTGTGCTAAAGCATAATAAATACTCCATTAATTTTTCACACAGGCACGAACTAGTGAGCTATTGGCGGTAAAGGACCGAAACTTTCAATCTCAATATGAGTACAGCTCCATTTTTATTTGTTTTATTTGGTTATCTGTTTTAAAGTTACATTTCCCTTTAAACTTCCAAAAAAAATCTTTCTAATAAGAATCTAAACAAAAAAAGACAGGTATTCATTACACATACATTATACAGTTTTATTTAATATATCATCAAAATTTTTAAGATTTAAAAACATCTTTTAATTTCATAAATATATAAATACTTATTGTTTTACATTACTGGTTAAATTTACTCATTTATCTAAACTTATTAAAGGAGTCAAAAATAATACTAAGAAATGTTTTGATTTCAACTCCACATTTGAAAGCATGAGAGCTATCGCCACAATATATAAGTAGTTAAAGCATTTAGTCATAGGAGCAAACTGGGTCAGATATGTATAAAAACTTAACTCTAACACGCCTTCTTTGAATGAGATAAATTAGAGTATGCCAAATGGCCAACGCCGAATCATCCAGCTGTCCTACATACGGTTCTAACAACACCATAAAATACGTCAACGGAGTAGGAAAGTTCTTGTTGTCAAGCTTTATGAGTAATGTACTGAATCATAGCCACAAACCTAATTAATAACAATTGAAAAAGTTTCCCTAACATGGAATTATTTGCGATTTAAATAGGGTTTATTACGTTGTTATCATCTTGATTTATTTGCTAAGATACTGTGAATCAATTTTGTCGCAATTACGTTATTCCGATGGAAGGGAAGTTACTCGTTCTTTTTTTTTAATCTACGTGGGATTAGAAGGAAAATCACAACTTTATCCGAAGAAATCGTAACGTTTCGATTGACGTTGTTGATATTTGATTGAGTTTGTGGAAAAAGCCCTCAGTCTGAAAATATATGTAGAACGAGTAAATGACTATACCGAGGGAATATTATCTTACGAATAAGTCGATATAAATCAATAAATGTATCGGCCGTTTACTTTTCTTAGCTTTTGTTTAAACAAATTTGAAAAAAAAATATATATTCCTATATTAAATATATGGAATTACATTTATGATCTTGCAATTAGATCACTAATTCAAGTAGTATTCATTATTGTAGTATTTTAGGTATTTTGTGTTTTAAATCCACACCACAACTTCTGTTGTATCAATGAGCCGGCTCGTCAATGAAACTACTGGCGTATAGATGTGCTGCTTCTGCGTCTTGATTGTCGAGTGAGGTAGCTGGTGCTGAACAAATTAAGCTACCATCAGTTGAGCCACCCGCTCGTTTGCTACCTTCTCCCGTTAAAAAGATTCCCCAGACGCCTTACTAAAGGTATTGTCGTTATGATCAGCAGCTTCTTCTGTTTCACGAATAGGCAGACTCTTCCGGAGACGTTCCACGGCCTCACAGAAGAACATCAGCGTGAAGCGGAAGTGTTCCGTCCGATGAATGGTTAAACCCCAATTCTTTTGGGCCCCCCCAATTCCTCAAAAGCTGGTAATACATCTGCTACCCTAAATTTATAAGTCCCAATGGATGCCGCCAATGCGGCGGTAATCACTTTACATCAGGTGAACCGTCTGCCAACAGCTGCCTTCCAACATTAAAATATAGATATATTGTTCAATTGATGCCAACTTCTAACATTAAAATATAGATATATTGTTCAATTGATGTGCGATCACGATCAGGTTAAACCTGATTCATTCGATTTTTTACAACAAATATTCCGCGATGGTAAATGTAGTATCTGTAGTCTATAGCTGCATTATTTTATATGAAATCTTAATACAAACGGCCCACGTGAAAGAATTGAACGGACGGTATTTGCCGAGTAGGTAATGATAATAATAATGATCCTGTCGGCGGCCGGCAATGTGTGCGTTTAATGAGACATCGACTACAAGAGCATCGAACTAAGCTAATAAAATGAAGTGATTCATAATTAAACCGTTACTTTTCAATGGTATAGTTGTCAAATGTGTGTCAGTTCGCGTATTACATTCTGGGGCGAATCTGTAAGAAACATGTTTATTTTTACTCTTATGTAGGTCCCGAATCCAATCGTTTTCACTGAATCCTAAATAAATTCAATAACCATTTAAACTTTCTGTGCTCGTAACTGCACATGCGTGGACCACTGGCATTTTTTAAATTATAAGAAAGATGAAAATAAATATTAAATAACGTTTTACTATGACTATTATACATATTATTGAAATCAACATTTACCTTGTATTGTTCCAATAACCTTATTTAACTTCGTCGATTGTTTCCACATAAAGCTGTTAAAATCATTCAGTCATTTTTAGGTTCCGTACCCAAAAGGTAAAATTACTGAGACCGCTGTCTACCTGTCTGTCTGTCATCGGCTGTATCTCATGAACCGTGATAGGCAGTTGAAATTTTTACAGACGATGTGTTTCTGTTTCCGCTATAATAACAAATACTAAAAACCGCAGTCAATGAAGTAAAAATAAAGTCTTAATAATAGGGTCCCGTTTAATACTGTGTGTACGGAACCATAAAATAAAAAAAATATGTGGTTCTCCCATACAACAGAAATGATTTTTTTTTGACGTTTAAATAGATGTGCGGAAAACTTCGTGCGCGAGTCCGACTCGCACTTGGCCGATTTTTTTACGTACGCACCTATTAACTAGGACATCAGACTTTTGGATTACGAAACTCGCGGGTCAGAGTGCAGATTCGATGCATGTTCCAATGACTTATCTATTTTCGTGCTATTAGCCCTCTCTAAATATCCCGCTTTAGTTAAAAACCGTAATACCTTGTTATAAGATTGGCAAAGGAATTATTTAACTATAATGATTATTTCAATTTATCAATTTCGGCCATAATTCAGCTTCAGTGTTAAAAGTACGTCAGTTTTAAATTCTCTAGACGTTGTTTATAACAAAAGATTCAAATTGCTTTGAATTAAGTTGAAGAATATCTTTTGATTAGTCGAAGTCCAACAAAATATCGTATACAATGTTTTGGCAAAGACACGTTTAAGTATATCTTTTTTTTATTTTTTTATTATCTTATTCGTGAGATTAAAATCAATCACAATGCCTACGTTATTACACCGTGGATTCTCTATGATAAGCTTTAAAAGTCACGTAAGCAAGTTCGACGAAAACATTAAACCAAGGTCGTTTATTATCTCATATTTAAAAAATGTGGTTTAACAAGTTTAACATAACAGTGATATAATGTATTAGAAAAAAAATTATTAACACGTTTGTTTTTTTACTTTATGTTAGTAAGTCTATTTTATCATTATGTTAATAAGAATCTAATAATATAATAAAATATGTTCAAACCAAACTTCACCAACTTCTAGATATTGAAATGATTTGATATTTTGGTCTTATAACCGATGACAATAAATTATTAAATGATATTATTAAAGAGCCTATGAAGAAAAAACTGGAGATAATACTTTAAATTTAACACTTCCTATGGTACCGCTATGAATATATAAGATTGCTCGCAAATCGCCTTGAATTTGCAATGGTGTGGCAGGCCATGGCGATACATGCAGAATATTACAGGTAATTAGTGACACTTCCGTAACTCGTGTCCGGCTTCTTGTGTAAAATTAAGTACTTTATCGAAGGTTATTCAACCGCAAATTTACATATCACCGTTTTGTTCTAACAAGAATGCCATCGGACGCGAATACTCATTTTCATATCCATCCCATCATATAATTATGTACATTCAACTGTGTGAAGGTGTCACGTCTCACATGGAAGCAAATAAAAATTCCATAATTAATAATCATACGAAGGCGCTATTATTATTGTCGTTGGCCCTCTGCCACCATTTGGCATGGTCTAGGCAGTTCTCCAGCGCTTCCTAGTACACTGACTGAATTACCTTCACATATTTGCGGAATACCTAGTGCCTTAGTGCATTTGGCGTACACCTATCACGTCGCGTCTTCGCATTCCGACCTATTCTACGAAATGTACGTGGCGTCGACCCCAAGCGGCGCTCAAAGTCCAGTACAAGAAACTCTCAAGTCGAATAAAATATCCGATCCCCTTTCCTCCATTACATTTTTAATGAAACGCTACTCCGTCAAAAGATTCGTTCGTTTTTTTTCATCTCGGCGCGCGACACGCATTCGGAATATTAAAGGCGCGTAATGTTGAAAATTCAAATCACTTTGGATCCACGAACGCGGGGGACGTGTGGAGTGGTTGGCCGCGTCGTTTTGTGTTGCTTTTAAAAGGAGGAAGCCCGCGGTGTGGTCGCTCGAGCCGCGGTGGCAACGTTGTCGCGCAACATCTCGGATGTCGAGCTAATTCCGCGCGCCCGCTCGGAATCCCTAATCAACGGACGCTAACGCACACAGACATCAGTATTCCGTTAGCAATCAGCGCCCAGAACACGATAGCAAATCGCTAAAAATACGAGATACTACACAAGGGCGCCTCATGGCCGACATGGCCTTACTTGGTTCACATAAAACAATTTGAATATTCGTTCCTGTTTGACGAACAATCGCATCGCGTACAAGATTAGGTTAGCACTTGATAAATTCGGGTATCAAATAACAAAACGCTGTATTTTTCTAAAAGTTATTTAAAACTTTAATAAAACCCTATCAAGCTTTCATCCTTAACACTATTTAGGAAGACGACATTTGTATTTCTATAAATTGCAAGCTATCAAATGAGAACCAATAGCAAAACCAAATAAATACAATGGACATTTACGGTAGAAACTTGGCAGGTTAAAAGCAAGACAACTCTGGCAACGCCGTGTATAAAAAGTAATGTCGATAAAACACGTTGGAAGACTTTATTGTTTCGTTGATTTTAGGCCTGGCAATCGACATTTCCCAGTCCGGGTATGTCGACGAAACCCCTTTGGAAGACATCGAAGTCTGAGTTCTCGCGGATGCGTTCAACTAGCGCCTTCTCTTGCGCGAGGGGGTGCCATGCGCCCAGGGTGCATGCGGTGTCGGCGTGCAGCGCGTGGTAGTGGCAGCGCCGGCTGGCTCTTACAGACGGCACGTACTCGAATACACGGACCCGTTTGCACCGCTGTAGGGCGAACCAAACACCTGCACGTACAGACAATTTTGACATAAAACAAATATACTTAACTAGTGACCCATCCCGGCTTCGCACTAGTGGCAATAATTAAAAATAGGTCTATGGATCAGATCGCTACCAAAATTGTCTGAATGTTTCATAAAAATCGGTCCATCTGTTTTACCACATATTTGAAATAGCCTTTTTATTATAATTAAAAAATTTCATGTTATTTAAAAATGTATTTTTTAAAACACAAAATTTGTTATTATTTCGAAAATATGCAGGTCAATTCCTGTGATTAGTCAGGACTGAAAAAAAAAATTGAAATTGTTTATATAAAATATGTAAAAATGGCATACTAATTAGAATACAAGCGTGAAATTCTTGTTACCGTTTTTTCTACTCTCGGCTTACGATTCCAATAACTAACCTATAAAACCGGAAGATGGTGGGTTCTTCCGGATACGGTATGGGGACGAGTCTTGAAGTACCGCCCACAGCCCCCATAATACGTTAGGGTGTAGCAGGTGGACATCCGCATTCGGCCTGATTTCCAGTAACCTGCGTAATAAACACAAATATTGTTTAAGGAAAACGCCAAGTAAATGTTAACGGGAAAAATATTCGACACGTACCTTTTGTAAACAGGAAAAAGTGGAAAGTCAGGATGGTGATACCATTCCTCTAAAGTGGAAGAATAATTGGCAGGGTCCCATATTAGTATCGAAACATCTTTGTACAGAGGATCGTCTAAGAAGTTAAATTCTATCTTTGTGACCACCTGAGTGCAAATGAAAATTACGTCGATTCGTACAATTTTTATTACATAACTTGGCAAGCGAGCAGGCGGTTCACCTAATGGTAAGTGATAAGCGCCGCCATATCTACAAAACCTAAGGGCCCATGGGGTGGATGTGTTGGCAAACTTTTAAAAAGTGGATTCCGGTTACCTATATCTGAGTGCGGTAGGGCCACGCAACAGCTTCGGCTGTTGCACAAATGGACAGGTCCGGCCGAGTAAGTACCATGACCCCACAGAAAACCAGCGTGAAATGGAAGTGTTTTACTTCTGCGTTTCGTCTGGTGAGTGAGGTAGCTGAGGCCCACTTTATTAAAAGGTGGTAACGTATCAGCAACCCTACGGGTGTTGCAAATGTCCATAGGCGGCGGTTATCACTTAACATCAGGTAAACCGCCAGCTCGCTTTCCGCCTTCACATATAGAAAAAAACCTCTCAGCAGAAGATAATCCGTAAGACTTTAAGAATTGAACCCGAATATTATCCAGCGTAATGAGAACGGGGTAAATTGATTTAATATCATCAACATGTTTGGTATTTATGTATAAAAACATATTTAAAAGTGTTTTATGTTGTAAAAAAAATAAATCTGCAATATCAATTCAAATACAAATGTTGCCAACCATTACTATCGTAATACTGTTGTTTACATATCTTACACAATTACTTATCATTCGGAATTTGCTAAATTAATATTACACGCGCGTTCGTAAACAAACAATGAAATATACATAAGTATGTGAGATTTTTTTTCTCAATACACTCTCACGGCATGATGTAATCGAACTACATCCAAATAACTTAAGCAAAATGTTTGCGATTATGTTCAATTCTTTAAGTTTGCAACGTTAAAGACAATGACTTTGAAATTTTATTCTAATATTATTTACAGGAATTTGAAATGTGTTTAATTAAATTAAACCCTAACCCCAAATGAAATTGAGATTATGAAATATTAAAATGCCTTTTTTGTACAGCGATAAGGAGCATGCTATGCTCGCCCAAATTAATATATATTACGTCTTTGTGATGGCTCAATTTTACAATTTATTGCATATTTATTAAACGTAAGAAAACATATTATAACGTTTTATATAATGTTCTTATTACCTGAGAATTTAATACGCGAATAGTTGTTTTAGATCCCACGTCATCCGTATAATTTTCAGTGGGTGCGTTGTTAAATCTTAAAACCATATCGTGTGAATCTGTGAAAATTGACATAAAAATTTATTAAAACCTAATTTATATGTATTTGTATGAACATTATATAGGTAATATTATGATTTTTTAGAAACAGACAGTGCCTACAATGGCAATGGTATAAATTTTCTGAAGTGTATCAGAAACAATGCATAAAGGACAATCAATGTTATGGATAAGTTTTTTTTAGAAAAGAAAATAAACAAATATAGCAGTTGCAGTTCTGTTATAGCAAAAGATTCAATATCTGAGCATCATCAAAATTCGCCTCAGCAAAGGAGTTGCGGGTTGCAGGTGCTTTACCAGTATTTAAAATGGCTAAATTTATGATCATTCACTCACTGGATGAGAATCAAATGTAAATCTATTTCATAGACTAGCATTAATTGCAATTTGCAAATATACTATAACAGCAACTCTGTAAAAAGCTTTACTCTTCCGGTCTCTTAAACAAAACATTACAGTGTTGAGTGAGGCATAATTGCTTTTTCCTACCTATCACATATCAAGCCCACTAATGCGGGACGTGACCCTGGCGGTTGACATGGTATGTAGCCACCAGTAGGAATCCTGGAAGCGGATAAACAAACAAAATAAAAGAAATTTCTCGCATTCTAAACATAAATTGTTTGATGACTTGTGTTTATTTCAACCGCCGTGATAATTTCGTGGCCGGGAGCCCTCTTTTAATTAAGATTATTCGTGCAATCCGACTTCGAATGATACGAATGATTGCTTTTTCTTGCAGTTTTAGGGGTAAATTGTCATAAAAAACACGTTTACGACTGCGTAAAACTAAACAAAATTAAATTTGGTTGCTCGGCACTTTTAAAGAACCTTTAATTTTTTTATGATTTTAAAGAAAAAAGAATCCGTACACACAAAGTATGTCTTTTACGATGCGGCAATTATTAATATAACCTGATACAGCAATGACGTTATAAAGAATATTTGTCTGCCTGTAATTTGCTAATCCTTATCGATCTTGTTATGATTTTACCAAGGTCGAAAGCAGGCTTTGCCAAATCGCAGCGACCGACGTCACTTCAGACGATCGCAATCTTTTTACTCATACTTTAAAGAATCATTGTCAAGCGCTGGTGGACCTTGATAACCGGCACCTGATACTGCTTTCCGCTCTACTTCAGCAAATTTTGAAATATAGGCGAGAGAAAAATTCTCATTGATACCTAATTGTCTGAAGTAAAGAAATTTGAAAACCGCTAATGTATTTACGTACCATGGTCAAAAAATTGTTAGAAAAGAAAATGTTTCATTTATCTTTATGTAATATAATTTTTCTGTACGTGTGTCTCTGAACTCTTCCTAAAAGACTGGACCGATTTTAATGAAATTTTTTGTATGTGTTAAGGTCGATTCGAGAATTGTTTTGATTTACATTTTTTTTTTGGTTTATAAGTTGTTATCGGATTTAAGACGTATGCGCAGGACAACGTCTGCCGGATCCGCTAGTAGAATAATTATATAATTTTTATAACATAGAATATTTTCAACCTATAAAGAAATGTACTGATTAATGTTTCAATTGGAACATTGACTCTCTATTAGTGTAGGTAAAATTTATTTAATAATACATATGGATGTGGGAAAGTAAAATAAAGTACTTATGCCCATTTAAAATAAAACGATAACAAAATAAAATATAGAAAAAACATCACATAAAGTGATATAGACTTTTTCTTTCATCTATTTTGAACATTTATATAAAGAATTTCTATATTTTATTACAAACAAGTATACCTACTGCTTCACCCATGCTATGCTGTTTAGCCTTAGTCCCAAGCCGATTGTTTTAAAACGCAGTTAATTAAGGGGAAATACCTTTATAAAGCATCGACGGAAAAAGCGCCATAAAAAATTGAAAAATAAAACTGTTAAATAATGCATGTGGTGCGTGTTAACTCGAAGAAGGGACACGTCCCTATTGTTTGGGTGCAGCTACTGTGTGTTGCGACTTCATCACAATATTGTTACGAAATTAATTTAATTAAAGGTAGATGATATAGATGACTGTATAACTAAACATTTTTATTGAATTCCTCATGTTTTTCTCTCCTTATGCGTAAACAATCTGATTTATTTACAAACAATTGTACAAACAATTGTAATTAAATAAAATTATAATACTTATGCTAAATGCGTTTCGTCTATTGCGCGTTACAACAGAAGGAATGCGTCTTAAGCAAGCTGAACCTGAGGCAATGCTTACAATATGTGATACATATTTCATCACGATTTCTAATACAATTTTTTTTTGTAAAAAATATTTCGGATGACGACAGGACTATCAAATCACAACAAAGAAATAACAAATTGTAATATAGAAATAATTTGTATAAAGAAATAATACAGCAATAAAGAAATTAAAACCCTCATTATAATATTTAAAAGACAAAAGTGTAAAATATCTGTAACGTAAACGCATCATTTGTACAATTTTTTTATTTTTGTATAGAATAGTGGTATTCTTTAAATATAAACTTTGTAGCTATACATTCATAATTACGTATTGCCATAATAAGACGCGTAAAAGAGGCACTCGTGTGTATTACATTAGCCTCTTTACATAACCATTACACGTGTTGATACTAAACGAACGAGTAAAATTCGTTTCGAGCTAATTTAAAACACTTATAAAATATTTATACAAAATGCGTAGTTGCGCAGAACTGTAGGACCGTTCGGCGGCCACGAACACAATGGTCCATGAGCATGAATTATGCAGACCCTTTGCACGTGCGGGTTGATGACACGACTCGCCTCTACAATGTAAACAATACACGACTGACGCCCTCTCGTCATCTCACATTCAATTAGCACCACAGTCTAATGAGACTGTTAAATATTATACCCGGTACATGACTGAAATAACTATAGGAATATATCAAACACATAGTAATTAATTGCGAAACATATTAGACTCATGTAATAATTTAATACCTCAAACCCCTTAGTTCTCTGTGTTACTAAAACTTTGGTCCTTCATTGAGGGATAAATTTTTTGTGAAAGTTTTGAGCAAACTGGCGGTGTACCTGATGTTATGTGATTACCGCCGTCCATATTTATCCATAACACATGAACGCTTACAGTTGCGTTGATAACATATAAAAACGTGGATCCCGGTTACCATGCTCACCAGACTAAACGCGAAAATATAATACACCCCCTTCACGCTGCTCTTCTGTATCGACGTAGTATTTCTCCACATTAGCCTGCCGATTCACGTGTCAAAAGGCGAAAGAATAATAAAAGAAATTGTAACTAAACTCTTCGTTCGCGAAAGTCCATACAGTTTCGACTCACGTGTCACTCCTATGACAACGTGCCAATTGTCTGCCCCACGTCTGGGATATAAACTTATCACAGTTTTCGAGAAAGGACAAAGGCATGGCTTGCGGTTTTTGTATGACTAACACAATACCTTATAATAATGTGATTTGTAAAATGAATCATAGCGTGCATTTTTGTACCACTGCAGGATCAGTTCATAGAGTATAAGTGTATCGATAAACTCAAATCGGCGTTACCCTTATATGCCATAAATGTAGAACTGATCTGAGTTCACAAATAATCATTCTTTTCAGGTTAAAAATCATGGGTTTGGGCATAAAAATTCTCAGAGGAAAGGATAAGGTGCAATGAAGAATAATAGACGGTACTATAATTTTCCTTATATCGAAAATTTCAGACAGGATTTACGTTTGCGTTAAAACATCCTGTACATGACTAAGGCTCACACTCGTTGTCACAGTACAAGAGCACATCGCTTTGTGTTTGCACATTACTGCCTGCTTCTTGCATCGTATCTCTTTGGATCTTAAATATGTGGCCATGCTAATGTCTGTCCGATAACAGTTTTTACTAAGTACTAGTTGGATTTTCCAATGCGGACGCGTTGGTTTTACAGAGGAGTACGCTCGGCCGACGTCCGGCGCCAGCGTTTGTCTTCGACGGCCGCCGCATCAGCATATCGTGGCGTCCCGCATATCTCGCGATAGATTGAAGCGACCATGAATAAATCAACGCCGTCGATCGATTCGTATGGGCTTATTAGAATTATCAGCGGAGGCAACGGTGTCGCGTTCCTCGTCGTTCCGCTTAAACGTTTCGCGCAAAACGTAAAACGCGATCAATAATTTGCTCGAGGCAAAACAGCAGCAGTACTGGTGTCACAGCTTTATCATTGGTTACCTTAGCAGTTATCGAGATCAGCGTCATACTTACTTAGCGTCCTACCCGCGTCCGCCAACGACACAAAATTCGCACAGCTACCAGCTACGCTACCTACTGCTAAATCATGCCAAAACTAGAAAAATTCTATATTAAATATTTTTACACCTCAGTGATTTCCGAAACTTTCGAGTTTACAAACTCCTGACATAAATTACAATTTAAAGCTATTGTGTACTTGTGTGTTTTACTTCTTAGAAAATAGTTACATTTTTGTCAATTACATTTCGTTTTTCTTCCTGTAAAAAAAGTTTGGGCGCCGCAAATTTCAAGCTTTTTCCTTTTTTCATTTGGCTAGTGCTATATTCGTTTAAGCGATCTTACGAAATTTTCAAACGTGCCAGGTGGCGAGCTTACGCCGAACACCAAGCACAGATGTGTAACAGCGATTTCAACTCATAAAAAGCCTGCTATCCAGAGATGTTGGTTCAAACCGAAGTGGTTAGAACATATGACGTGAGATTGCAAGATTAGGTAGTCTACAGCTTATAGCTGCTCCATCTGCGTTTTTAAGAGCAGCTATAAGCTGTAGACTACCCAAATACCAACCAAATTAAACATATTAAGAATATGGTTAGTTACCAAATTACGAAGCAGTTCAACTGATGCTAAGCGGTTCCAGACACATTAAAAGAGAGTCGTTACGATACAGCTGAATGAGGGTGCGCTTTAAAGGTCGTGCAAAAAAAGAGATCAAGATCATGAAACGTACAGTCCATAAGACCAATTCATATAGCAGCAGAAACTTATGCGAAGCTCTACTTTGGTAGAGCCAAATAAAAGCTTACGCTATTATCTCGTAGATATTGGCATCAAATTGTCATTAAGTGTGTATACATCTTGTTCGAGAGTGACCTATATTGTAAACGTTCCCTATTCTCCTCGCACTTAATATAAAACTCATTAAAATTAAACATGTGTCTCTTTATGACAAAGAAGTAGGAAATACGAGTCCCGGATACAAAAAAAATTAACACAGTGGGGCATCGCCCATTCGTCAGTCAAGACCAAAATTCTACAGAAACGGATGCGTGGGCTTTGCATTCATTACACGTTGCACACTTTTCCTTCAGCCGATAATACAGAGTCGGCACTCCGTAAAGGTACCTAGTTGTCTACACCTTTGATTTGTGTCCGTGAGTAATCAGTAAAGCCCCGTGGACAATAGTAATTCACGTAATTCGCATACGATTTGGGACGTTCGGCGAAGGAAGCCCTCCGCGCATGACAATGCGTCCACAAAGAAAAAAGATCCGACGCGATAGCTGCACAATACACGGTCGATCACCCTTCAACACTACTATTCGATCTATAATACAAAACAATCAACTTATTATCATAAATACAGAGAATATTCCCGTGCTATTTTAGAATTTGAAGCGAATGCATAAGAACTGTTCGTCCCGTATGTGTAACAAAGTTAGATACAGTACACTGGCAATAATAATTAGTGATAATATGTATATTTATACGAGACCATAGAAGTAACCAAATAAAACATTTTATGTACACATTAATAAATAGCACAATGATACACGAAAGATAAAGTAAGCAATCACTGTTAATAAGGATAAAAAATAGTACCACCATGCTTACAAAGCTGTCTGGGAATAATATCCGCGATTATAATAAAAAAATTTAATCTAATAAATCTACGTACGCATTAATTAAAGCTAACAGAAACATAATTTCTTCGTAAAATCCATGTATGATTAACGGAACAACTTTGAGGTGATAATAGTGGGACACGTCCAGTAATAACATTTTTTTCGAAAAACTTTAATATAATATGCTAATAAACTTGTCGCTGATTAGAATATTTTTCAGAATTCGAGATCATTGAAAGTACTTAGGTGTTTTCGTACATACAATGGACGCAGGTACGTTGTACAAATTGAAGTTACGCTTTCAGTCATGAGCTTGTACATATAAAGCTTTATGTAATACTGAAACCGTGGAATCGCCATCACGAAATCTCTGTTAACTCTTGCAACCAACAAGTCCTAAATTCAATAATTTGTTTCATTTCATAAATCACAGCTATCACACCTACATAAACTTAGAAAGCTTGAACCTATCATCAAACCCTAAAGAGATATAATTTAACTTTAATAGAGATAACTGTGTAGTTTGTTGGCACTTCCGTTTATAAATCACATGGTTAAAATAAAAAACCAATAAATTTAAACCTTTAACTAATTAAGTGATTGTAATATAAGATTTAACAATATCAGACAAATTGTTGATCTATATTTAATTTTAATCTATCTTTAAATGAGATCGTTATAGATTTTAGTTCTCTCGCGTGTTACAAATGTGCTCATTAAAGGTTATTGGCCGGCATGACAAAATAAGAAGAGTTGAAATTAGTAAAGCTAGTTACCAAAAAACGAATTGAGGACGTTAACTGTAACAAGAAATGTGTATCTATGCTTGGTATGTTACTAAAAAAAATAATAGGTGGTTTTCATCAAATTGGAGATTTCATAAATTAATCCGAAAGGACCGATTCATTTTTGCAATAGTGTTACGTTCGATGTGAATAAAATAAATCCGACGATAATAAATCCTATCACCATGTTGCAATAATAAATCTTTATAGTTGTGATAAAAGTACAACAATGTTTAAATAAATATGTGTACGATACACAATATGTGTACAATACGAAGGTGATTAAAATTAAGTCAATTCTTGTTTGTAAATGCAAAGCAAATAATTCAAAATGATGTTAGCAATATAAAAAACCAGGTACAACACTTTACGACAGGAACACTTATCATCCAAAATATAAACAAGATAGAAAATTCTAACCAATGATAATCAATATATTTGAGAATACCTTTTCATTTGTCTTATAGCATGAACAAAGTTTTAGAATAAAATAAATAATTGTGATTTCTTGGATTTACGAGAAAAATGGACATTACAAATAAAATTATTTTATCACCTTTAGTTTGTTAATTAGTACCCGACGTTTGGAATACATTGCATATTCATGATCACGAGATAGATTGAGTTTTATGTCCTTCTGTTTTTATTCTGTAGCCTAAAATATCGGTTAGGTTGAGATTTTTCAATAATTTCTAGTCATAACCTTTTAAGTCCTAAAGACAGCATAAGACTTTATCATGAAGACATTTAGCAAAAACTTTAGCTTGAGCAAAGCTGATAAGGATTTAGGTTCTACGAAACAATCTTAAAAAACAATATCAACTATCGTCGGCGGTGATACTCACCTATAAACTCCCCCAAACGAGAGCCCAGCAGAGCCCCAGCACTGGTAACAACAGCGCATGTATTAAAATTGTGATCTTCTTGAAGAGGTCGCCTTGGAATACGATAATTTAAACGTTTGAATGGCTCGTCCTCGGCTGTAACAGTTTGCACGGGAACATCCTTTAAGGCACACTCTATTTCCTTCTTTGTTAGTTCCTTCGATTTTCTTCTTTCGTAATGCACGTCATAAGGATTCTGAGAGTTCAATCCCGAGGTGAATACCTTACTGTCACTCATTAAAACTCTATGGAACTCTTTCAGCAACAGCGTTTTAAATTCCGCTGTCCGCATCTCGCATTCCGACGTTAGGTAATCGTCACAAATATACTTATCGCTGTCGAATTCAAGTATCGGCTTGTGAATGTTTGGAAACCTTGGACTTCCATGGCTTTTTCTAACTATATTTGTAGACGGACGGGCTTGTATCCCAGAATTTTGAGATAGTTTACCAGCGTTTTTCATAGCAATTATTGACCTTCTGCTTTTATGAACGTTATTGTCTTGATTTTCTTTCACCGAATTTGTGCTGGATTTCTCATAGTAAAAGGAATCCTGGAATGTTATATCCGGTCCACTACTACGCTGTGGAATACTTGGAGTTTTGTTAAACAATCTTTGCCTTTCGATATTCATCCAATATTGCGACCAGATTAAATACAAATAACCACACATGCCAAAACAGAGAAGATTTATAAAAACCCATACTGACATAGCCGCTGCTTTCATGTTTATGTAAGGACTATTGAGCAAATACTTTATTTAAATCACTTCAATTAAATATATGATAATTTTTCACAATTTATCCTACATAAATTAAGATAAGGAATTGATCCTTATTAAACGGATAAATAACAGCATTTATCACAACCATGACTGAAATATACAAAGCATTTTTCGACTATCCACCGCTCCTACGGGTGGAGTAAAATCAGCTGATACTGAGTTTTAATGCGCATGCGGATAGATAACATTAAAATAACGCTACGTTTTGTAAATATTTGATTTGATGACGATACAAAATCAAATATTTACAAAACTTAAAATACTCTTGTTAGATTTAATCCTCAAAGAATTAATAAAAAATAACAAACTGAAACGCGCTAAACTTGTACAAGTACAACTCACATCTTAATAGAATCTATTTAGTTAAGTTGTGAGTTGTACTTGTACAAGTTTAATCTGATTATTCTTACATTTATATTTACCCTTACCCATATTCTCAATCTTGAAAGACCAGAGCCAGAGCACCACAAGTAAAAAAATAGATAAGCTTGAGAATTTCTGTCTTCTAAATGTCAATACATATTAGTATGGTTCATAAACTAACATAATATGCAATTGTATAGTAAAAAGTAAAGTAACAGATATATCGCACTGCTAGGCAAAGGCCTCCTCTCTACTTATTAAACAGGGTATAAGGGCAACGCAGCCCCACTGCGGATTAACTTACTTAAAATCCTATGTAAGCTGGAGCAGAGGGCGTCCACGGTAGATTCTACTGTGTCGGTTTCTTGAATCTGAGATTGTCAGGCAAGCGAGTGATTATCCCATTATGCAGTAATGCGATAGCGAGGCTGTCACTTTAAAGCCTACGGATATGCTGGGTATCGGGTACCATAGTGAGTCAGTTCTGTTCTAAGGCGCAGAATATTCGACCTTCGCCCTACATCAGTTAGCTCAGCTGCAACTTGGGGTAGCGTACGCAGGACTGTGCGGTTGTAGCAATTCCCAGGGAGGACGACGGGGGACGTGGATGACTCGGACTGGCTAAGGCTCTGCTTTACTGTACTCCGCCACGAGTACCTATAGCAGATGGTTTCTTGTTACTTTATAGGCAATGCTGCTCTCACAGCAATTCCCACCAAGACCATACCCTAGCTTCGCCCCATATTTATTTTTTGCTGGCTTTTACAGTTTTAATAAAGAACATTTTGCATCTCGATTCTCTGTCGGAAATTAACTTCATATTTACTAAAGCTGTTTAAAACTTTGACACTGTAAGGAATTTGAGCGTCAACTCGCACTGAGAGCAAGTCTGCGGGACGGAAAAGATACAGGCTCACACCGATAGTCTCCTGGAATACTGCCTCAGTTATTATCGAGGGTATCGTACGATAATGTACTTTCAATGCTGTGAAAATGAACATAATTGAGCTCATAGTATTACCAGATTGGTAAAGAAAGCGGCAATCAGCAATTGTGATGCCAATGCTGTTCTGGCGTCTACACTCGTAATCTTCTTAGACGAGACTGAGTGACTGTTAAATGGACCTTCTGCATTAGAAAGGGAGGATCGATGCCACTCAGAAATGGCACCGTAGAGGCAATGGGGCAAAGTATGGGCAAATGGGTCTTCTCAATTTCAGTATAATTTCCCTAAAAGGAGGGATCTAAAAGTCATTTCAAATAGTTAAGTTTAGTCCACGCAAGTACTGATACGAGCGTACACAAACCGAGCACTAGAGCAAGTTTGAATAGCCACCGTTGATTCCTTACAGATATCCAATTTCCATTTGAATTCATGGCTCGCCGGAGCTTATTTGGTTAAAGACAAGCTACTCCTTAAATTTGTGTCTGACTGTGGTAGGGCCACGCAGCAGCCTCGACTGTTGCACGAATGGGTAGATACGTCCGGGTAAGTACGGCGACCTCACAGAAGATCGGAGTGATGTGGATATGTTACACTTCTACGTTTCGTCTGTTGAGTGAGTAGCCGAGGGCCACTTTATTAAAAGGTGGCAACCCATCTGCAACCCTACGTGTGTTACAAATGTCCATGGCAGGCGCTTTTTACTTAATATCAGGTGAACCGCCAGTTGTCCTACCACCTTCTCACATAAAAAAGAAAAAATATATTCCTAAACCTACACAGGCATGTATCCGCTCAGAAAATAACATTAACGAATCAAAACGTCTAGATGACACTTTCTATGGTGGTAGGGCCACGCAGCAGCCTCGGCTGTTGCACGAATGTGCAGGCCCGTCCGGGTAAGTACCACGACCTCACAGAAGACCAGCGTAAAGTGAAAGTATGACAAATACTTTCGCATTTCGTCTGGTGAGTGAGGTAGCCGGAGCCCAATTTTCCAAAGGTTGTCAACGCATCTGTTACCCTCGGGTGTGGCAGATGTCCATGGGCGGCGCTATTCACTTAACATCAGGTGAACAGTCTGCTCATTTGATAACTTTTCGCATAAAAAAAAAGCGGTGAGTATAAATTTGAAATAACACAATATGTACCAATAACAATTATTTTTTCCTTAATGCACAGTGCATTAAATATAAATAAGTATAATTTATAGGCTTACGGAGGTTTTTTTTATGAAATTAAAAAATAATAGTCTATTTTCATGTTTATTAAGTTTTATTGCTACCTGATATTTAAACAAGAAATTTATTGACAATGATTAATTAGTAAAGATTTTTATTAGGGTTTTATTTACCAATAACACATCATTATTACTTACATTTAATCACATTTTATTAGATTTAAACATCTTGATAAACATACAAAGTATTTCATTAAAAAGTATATTGTTTAAATAGTTATTTCATTGTTTATAATATAAATTACTACATACAAAATATATGAAATATGCACATTTTTGGTTATCATAATGGTAAAAAGGTAAAAAAATTACTTAAGTAATTGGTTCGCTTGGACTTGGTTAAAACTAACAGTCGTGATAGGTACAAGTACTAATATCTAAATCACTAGATTTCACAATGACTAGGTTACATTTTATTTATATGGCTATATTTAAAACTATGGATAAATGTGTTATGTCATGTTAAAAAAACCTTTATATAGAAATATGACCAAATTTGCAAAAGTAGCAATTTGAGCATTGTTTTCTAGGATAAGAAAGTAACAGTAAATACCAAATTACAACTCTAAATTGGCTTTCTTTTGTACCAAACAATTTAAGTTCTTGTGCTGCTCTCTAATTAATTTATTAAATATCGAAATTTTTAAATTTTGCTGCAAGATTTAGATACAATAAAATAATAATTCTGCTGTATATAGTAGAGTACTTGTTAAAAACTATTTACAGAATTAAGCTATACAATAAATACTGTGAGAAAATATATGTCACGAACGACCGAGTAATGTTACCTCCATTTCCTCCCAATAGATGTATTTAGTAATACTAGCTTTTCGCCCGCGGCTTCGCTCGCATTGAAGCTTGAAAGAAATATCTTTCAACATTTTTTCCAATTAAAAAATAGCCTATCTTTACCGTCTTTTCTCAGGCTCCAGAGTATCTGTGTACCAAATTTCATTTAAATCGGTTCAGTAGTTTTGGAGTGAAAGCGAGACAGACTGTCAGTTATTAGTATGGATTTTTATCTCTTTTCGTATCATCACAACATTATTACACTTTCACGCAGAACGACGCAACACGGAAGACCGTGAACAAAGGAAGAATTATACCGACTTCTGCTATTCATCTGGTGAGTGACGTAGCCGGCGCTTACTCTAAAGATTGACAACCCTAGCAATGGTCGATGGCTATAACCTAACACCAGGTGAACAGTCCGTAACCCTCTCATATAAAAAAAACCCTAAAACATGTAAACGTTAAATTAACCAAATAGCAGTACTACTAACATTTACTTACATTGTTATTACAATAAAATCTGTTGGAAGCGAAAACGCCACTACGATATTATGATTACGAAACTGTTCTATTTTTAAAATGCGAACACTTTCATAAAAATCTTTACCGCAGTAGACCCGCTTAGTGTTTCTAATGTATTTCTAATTTCATGATAACCAGGGTCCCACAGTTTTTAACGTTAACAACGCAACTTCATATCCAATGATATTGCAAAAACTAATAGGCGACAGTAACCAATATTATAATTAGGATAACGCTTGTACTTTCGCCACCTACTCCCCTAAAATAAATTTAAATAAATATCGACTTACAATTATAATACAGATTCGAATATTTCCATAATTTACCCAGGTTGGGCTACACTCTATTTAGTTGATATCAACCCATCACTAAATAAACCGGTCCGTAGGCCGCGCATAACTTAAATTAGGAGTGAGGCGTATTTGGACTAACTGCTGCCCCGCGGAGGGCTTGACAGGGGTGCGGTGTTCATTGCACCGACACGGCACCATTTGGCTGGACCGGGTGCCCAAACACCCGGAGAGAGGAAGCCTGAGAAGGCCACAGTCGCGCCGGGGTTCGCGAAAGGTTGCGTTTTCGTGTTCACGTGTCAAAAAAAAAGGCTGTTATTTTGTAACAGGTATTTGTCATTGTTAGTTTTAAGTAACAGGAACTGGATTGAACATAGTATAGCTCACACCTAACTTAAATGCGCCTAAATGAATTTGCCTCAGCGAGTTTGTACATATTCTGTAAACTGAAAAAGTAATTCATTTACCTTTATTATTATATTAGTATTTGTATGACCCACAGATAATTGAAGTGAAAACTTGTTTAGGCAGCACTTTTGTGCTCAAAGCACCTTTTTGTTCATCCATTAACTCGCGTCATAGTCACCGAACGTGAGCTATATGACTGCGTTCATACGAGTATGTGTACTTTTTGGGTGAACAAAAATTATGGAATTCTCGTCATCATCACCGAACCAATCTTAGCATTTGACTAAGCTCCAAAGATTAATTTAATGGGGGATTTTTGTATTTGTATTTTGTGTGGAAGTGGTTGGGATAGTCCCTACGACTACCCAGTGAGGAGTTTCCACATCTTCCATCAGGCACTTCCACAGGTGGCGGATGGGGAAATATCATTCAAATATGGGTGATACCGGGAAACCAGCGCGGACCAAAACTGGGAGGGTGGCCTTTAGGGAGCCCTTTTCAGGACTCAGGGATGTCTTAGGTCTCGACTCGCGGAAGCAAGCCTAGAAAGCGGGCCTTTGATGCTCCCAGTATCCCTCTCCAGTGAGAGGGTGATAGTAGTAGGCGAGATGTATGAAAGATGCTTTGGGGGGTAAGGGGAATCAGGTTGAGTGATAGCGTGATGTTATGAAAGGAAGTTCCCGAAAGGGTATAGTGACTCACGCGGTGTGATTACCAAGTGCACTAAACTTTTGCTGACACCGGGTGATCTCGGTACTCTGCTGCGTGTGTCCTGGATCGCGTCTCGTGGCCTGCGGCAGACCGGATAAGGGTCTTACCTTAGCCGGCCGGACCGCGAGGAGAAAACCTCAGAGATTTCGGCGTTGCAGTATGCGAAGATGAATGCTTAAGAGCGGCTGGACCGTAAAACCTGTCCCAGCGGAATTACCCTTTACTCGCGAGAATTATATGGAACCTTCACGCATAAAAATCAAACAGACTGAAAAATCGCAAACAGACAAAGACAATAATATGCTTTTCGTAATGGTGGAAACGTGGGGGACGCATGGACCGATGGAGGTCCGCGTCAGGAGAATTAAGTCGGGCGCCTGATGACGAGGCGCCCGACACGGAGGTGGATCGGGTTTAGGCTTCTCCGTTGATGGCCTCAAAGATTCCTCCATCCATGGCCCTGTGCGGTTGAATCACCGGACCATAATGCTTCTGCGCAGACCGCAGAATTTGTTGGCTATACTATTATTTTCAATTAGATAGTATGTAAGCAGCGAATGTCTTTTGTTTCTATCACGTCTTGTTTTTAAGGAACACACCGATAACCTCTATTTATACCACTTTTTTTTGGCTGGATGAGCCACTTAGGATACGTTGGCCTTAGGGGCTTTCACAGTTCTGACGGGCTTGAGGTGGCCTAGCGCACGGGGCGCCTAGCTTGAATTTCGGCGTATTATTATTACGCGTTATGGTGACTAAGCTCGAGATCTCCCGACGGAGCCTCGGCTCGGGCCGTCACGCTATTATTATCACCGGTTTGGGAGGCCGCCAAGCTCTTAGAGCACTTTGGCGGGCGCTCCATGGAGTGATCAAGGGTCCCCGAGAGGGGACCTCGGCTTGGGCTGTCACATAACACGCGTTTAGCATTCCGATTCGAGGGTGCCCGAGAAAGCCGGACTTTGGCTCGATCGGTAGCTATTATCTGACTGGATTTATATCACCCTGATATTGTCCATATTACTTAATGTCATCGCTAGACATTATATAGAAAATATAGGTTTATTTCCCAGTATCTTTGATATTACCTGTTTGTGAGTGTACAGTTTTCAAGATGAATTCTGAAAAAAGCAGCCTGTGCAAAAATTCACTAAACAATTTTTTTTACGTGTGTGGACAGTAAATTCTTGGGTCTCAAGGAATAAAAATATCTGAAAAATTAGGTGCTGAGTATTTTTTTTTTATTTTGGATGTGCTGTTCATCTAGATAAACCCTTTTGATTGCGCAAATGTTTGTCATGTGGATCATGTTATGTTTTAAAGCAGTGTTATCTGTGGGTCACACAAATACTTGTCTCGAACCCACGCTCCCCGGCGCCAAGTCCATTATCTTGGCAACTACGCCAGAGTCATCAAGGGGGAAGGCGGATATCTTACACCCTGTCAAGTAGCTCCACCATTTATAAAAAAAAAGTTGAACCTTAGATATAATTAGCGCGTCAGATAATGTTTGTATGCTGGAGCAGCATCTCGGCAAGGCCCTACGGTGATAAGGCACGAATGGGCAGGCCCATCCGGGTAAGTACCACGACCTCACAGAAGACCAGCGTAAAGTGGAAGTATGACAAATACTTTCGCGTTTCGTCTGGTGATTGAGGTAGCCGGAGCCCAATTTTCAAAAGGTTGTCAACGCATCTGTAACCCTCGGGTGTGGCAGATGTCCATGGGCGGCGCTATTCACTTAACACCGGGTGAACCGTCTGCTCGTTTGACAACTTTTCGCATAAAAAAAAGCATTGCTTCAAATGCAAAAAAACAATGTAGAGAAAAGACGTAAACATTTTTGTCGGTGTGGAATTGGCCGTTTAGCTTAGTGGCTCAAGCGTCAGGCCGCCTTTTTTTTTTTCTACAAATTTTAATGTTCAATCTTAAGTGCAGAGATTGGCAGTATAAACAAAAGAGAACGGTGTCACTGTAAACGTCGAAACAACAGCACAAGTGAACGGTTTCCGTAACCAGTCCAGCCGGCTACGGCTCCACGCCGACGTCCTCGTGCAGGATGAAAGCGTACACCAGCGCCATGAAGGAGCCGCTGAACATCTCCGCCAGGGTCGGCGGCGGACGCGGTCAGTTTCCCGGCCACCCGTACCCCGCACCGTTGAGGGGCTCGTGCCGTGCCACCAGCGTGGAGTAGTGCAGCAACGGCAGCACCGCACCGCCCAGCACCATCGCCCCGAAGGTGGGCTTGTGGATCAGCCTGCGAGTAGAACACTCGGTTAAGCGGGGCCGTGTTACACCAGATGTTAGATGATACCCCATGGACACTTGATACACCCGTAGGGTTGCAGCTTTTAATGGAGTGGACCTCGGTTACCACCACCAGACACAACGTAGAAGTATAAAACTTCTCCTTCACGCCAGTCAAAAATCGTAAACGAAAAGCGGAATAGCGGCGTTGGCTTGCGCAGATGAAATTCCCCGCATGACTCCGATTATACTTAGAGAGCTAAGAAATGACCTTGGGATTGACCTTAGTTCAACTCCGGACGGCCACATTCTAGTGATGACAATAATTATCAAAAAGATGAAGGGAATTGTTTTTAGGTGGTGGGTGTATACACAGGTAGGTGCCAGTAACATACACCAATAAGTTTCCATTGGATGGATTTATTTCGTGTTCTGCTCTATTTATATCGCAGGACTTATCACCCCAAAATCTATCAAAAATCTAACAGCTTTGTAGCGTCTAAACAAAACCGTTAAGCTCTCAATACCGTCATTTCTATCTCCGCAGCCAGCTTGGGCCCTTTTTTTTGGTATCGGGAGGGAAATCTTCGAAAGATACCCTGTCACCTAACATGACAGGGTTATGTGGGGTTTGTACCCACTAAAACCCCCTCGGTGGCCACCTTCTGTACATTTGGAGGGACTCCGGGATCTCTCATGGAACGCACCGGTGTCCCTCAGTACTACGCCTGAGCACGCCTCGGAGAAAGATAAACCTTCTCCGATTCCCTCACTCTCTTGCAGCAGCAGGAAACCACGTGACCGGGTTCCCGCCTTGACGTGGCGGAGGGGCTTTGTAGCCGTGGCTTGGTCCCCCACGGCGAAGCTAAGAGGAACTCACACTGGGCCGACCTGTGGTGTGCGGTCGGCCCGAGAGGGCCGCTCCGAGTGGGCTCATTGAGCCCACTATAGATGCGTGCTGGAGGGTGCAGGGGACAGGTCGAGGGTGGTAGAGGTGGAGCCACTTTCCCTGTCTTCTGCTACCGAGGAGGAGTCGCGGGGGAAGAGGAGTGTCGGTTTTGCGTTGGGCGTGCTCCCTATCCTCCGCGACTCGGAGGGGCTGCACCGCTGATGCAGTGGTGGTGGGGCCGCGGGGGGAGAGGAGTGTCGGTATTGTTGTGCGCCGTTCTCCCTATCCTCCACGGCCGAAACGTGGTGAGCGGCGGAGCCACAGACCAGGTCCGCCGCTGGAGGCTGGGAGGCTTGCTGCTTATTAGCACTGGCTCTCGTGGCTCCCATGGCCCCGGTCAGCGAACTCGGGGGAGTTCGTTGGCCGTGAAAATGGGGCAGAGTAGGAAGGCGCGCTGAATGTTCCAGTGCGCCTTACCTGGAGGAGAGGGGAGTTGCTCCCTGAGGGGGGCTGCTAAGGCGGCCAGCGCTGGCAGGGTCGCGGAATTGTGCGAAAGCGTTCCCGTGACCCTGCCGATATGCGCCTAGGTAACATCGTGGGGGTTTTAGTCGGTGCGAGTCCGACATAACCCGTTCTTGGCCCCCGCAAGGGTGGGTATGCGTAGGCATTTCCCACACGTCAACAAAAAAAATTGTATGTGCTGTTTTGATGTTTAATTTTTTTCTTCCTTCTTCCATAAGTACATTCAAAGCTTAACTGAAATGCTACTCGTTTCAATCCTCTCCTAAAGCTTACTTATGAGCAATATTAATTTAAATATATAGTATAGTATCAGCCTATATATGTCCCACTGCTGGGCAAAAGGCTCCTCTGTACAGAGGGTATCAGGGCATAGTCCACCAAGCGGCCCCACTGCGGATTGGCGGACACATATCTTCGAAATATTTTTTTTGTTATTACTTCGAAAATATGCAGGTTTCCTCACGATGTTTTCCTTCACCGCTGAGCACGTGATAATTTCGCACTTAAAATTAACAATTTCATTTGTGCTGGCACTGGAGATTGAACTAAGGTTGCTCGAGTACATTGAATTAATGGTGAGCGCCCGGACACTGAGCTATCACGGCTAGATAGATCAATTTAAACAGTTACATTTAACTGGATCTAAATTTTTATATCTTACCATGGTATAGACATTACAAACAATGTATATGAGAATGCAAGCACCAAATTGACCCACACCCTTGTAGAACGTCGCAGAGCACTTGATATCCACTTACACTGCAAAACTGAAACCAAAATATTAAATAAAAAAAAACAAACTTAGAACATAAAACATCAAAAAAAATTATAAGATTAAAGACATACACTGAAAACTTCCATAGAAAGATCATTGGTTCAATATAAAATGAAGATAAGATGATTTTACCTAAAATACTTTTTTAAAACTGCTAAATGCTTATGAATTTTATGTTTAGCTTTAGGTTAATAATATTACATGACATAATTATACTCACAGAGAGTAACCCAATCAGGATGTAGTGTCATAGCCGATGCAAACACCTGCACCAGGCCAAGGAATCTGTACTTCCATGTGTGGACGTTTGCATCATATTTCTCCAGTTCATGTATCTGCTTAAGGCTGTAGGAACCTTTTCGCAGCAACGATATGGGGTCAGCTGCTGGGAAATTCGCGGGACTATATGGCTGTAGAACCCCAACTTCTACAACTCCAACAGCAGTGTACTGTAAACAATCAAAGTAACAGAATCAAAGCAAGATTTTATATAAAATACAATATGACATATAGCGTTTTAAAAACTGTGTACTGTGAAGGCAGTATATTAACAATGTCGCAAGCCTTGAACAATCCTTTGAAGGTCTAATAAACTCTTATTTAAGTGGAAATCAAAACGACGAATAGCGACCCCTTAACAACTGCGCCAATCATGCCGTCATGTACGTGCCGATTTTTCATGTACTCACAATATCATCCTCGCGTCCAGCATATGAAAAATGAATACGAAGATCGCCAACCTCATGCTCAAGCGCACTTGCACCATGATAATAAAAGCCTGAATGCAGCTTAATGTCGCTGCGTTCTGGTCTAGTATCGGACCATATCTCATAATAATCATTTACTTTTCGTTTAACATCAACACCTGGAAAATATATGATGACACTTTAATATAATTTTTTAAACATGCTTTTATGCGCAAAGGTGGCAAGGAAACTTGGGATTTGCCTGATGTTAAGTGATAACCGCAGCCTATTGACATTTGCAACATCCTTGGGGTTGCAGATGCAGCAAAGACTGTTGGATGGTCTGTGGTGGTGAAAATACTACCCATGTGCATTAATTTACTATCTGATGAAAGTTTAGGACATTGATATTAGCAAGAGGTTTACCTAATGTTAAGTGATTACTACTGCCGACTTTGCAGTAGTAACAGCCACATCCAAGTGCAGAGAAATATCTTTTCCACACACCCATATATTTCAGAATATTATTTGGAGTAGATCTACCAATTCCCACATTTGTATTTATTGTGGTACTTACATATTTTCTGTTTAATAAAATAGCTTGCAACAAAGGTACTATTGATTTCGGTAGTATTTTCGTTTTTAATGATAACTAAAGTAAACTATTAAAAGTTACATTTCATTTAAAAAAATCATATTTTAATCAGATATTAATCAACTCTCTTGAAGTTACCTAAATATAACCATCCGATTTTCACACTCTCTGCAATATGTGTTTCGCTGAAGATAGGTATAGACGTAGGGTTGTGATGTCCTGGTCTTATGTAAAACAGTGATGAATCAATGATATAATCTCTCCAGTCTTTGTGATACCAATATGTTTTTTGCGATTCTTCACCTGGTTCACTAAGGAAGTTCTCCTTATCTCTGTAATATTAGGGTATAACAATGAAAATCTCTCTTTCACATTGCTTTATACAATCCTTTACTATTAATGTTTCCACATAGTATAGAGTTTCTTGCTAAAGTATGATGGGTACATCTAAAATAATCCCATTAAAAAAACTGAGTTCAAAGCATCAAAAATATCTTATGTTGGCGCTGGCAACACTGTTTACCGGATATGACGTTATCTACTAGAGCTAAGGGACACATGGTCGCACGAAGCAGCGGTCACTTGGATGTCGGCCGCGTTCCCGGACGGTGATATAACCTATAGTGCTGCTTGTCGTTATAATAGTTATTAATATTCAAGTTCAGTAATAGTTAAAATATTAGAATCAAGGTAAAAACGTTAGAACTCTTATACATACGTTGATTCCTCTATCCATTGATACATTTGCACCCTTTTTCTTAACTTAACAGCCTGTACTTGAATATTGTAGTCGGGTTCAGATATAGGTTCCAATATACGAAGAGGTCCAATAATATGTACAATTCTACCTTCATAGCGGGCAGCATCGTCACTTGTGTGCACATCAATACTCTCTGCATTAGAGATTAACTCTTCTAGCATTAGGTTACTTTGAATAGTCTGACTCTAGTAAAATAAAAATATTATAGGTAATATGAATATATTACAAACACAAACTACTTTTAGCATAATTATCTTTTTTTAAGTAAAAGTTCACCTGATGGTAACAAAAGTACAAATACTTATAGTTTTTGGTCTTCACTGATACACTACTGACAAACTGTTATATTTAAATAATAGCAGAAGGTGATGAATGGCTCACTATGTTAAAACATAATTTTATAATAATAAATTTCCAAAGATATTACATTGATTAATTGAAAATTTTTCATTTTACTCTAAAAAAAACTTTTTAAAACACCTTACTTTCAATTAGACGCTAAATACGGCATCTCTAAAACAAAGGTTTAATGAGATTCATGAGAACCAGTTTACTCTAGTGTTATTATTATAATATGTCTATATGCTATGTATTCAGCAACTTCAGTTTTTTATATTCATGAGAAAAATCTGCTTTATTTCATTATTTTATTTTTTGATGGAATACTTAATTTTAGGGTATATTTAGCAAAAATGGTTAGTTGACCACCTTACCTCTGCCCACAGCAAAAAATAAGTTACTCCCAGAAATAATACAAAACTAAGCAATGTTGTTATCCAAGTTTTTTTGAATTGATTTGAAACGCCGGCCCAATCCATTTCTTATTTCTTTAATAGAATAAGTTAATACGAAACTAAATTATTAATAGAATAAAAAAATAACAGAAAAACTCTAATTAGATTTCAAATATATAATAACTTAAAATAGCATATTTAATTAGCGAATTAGAAGAATTAAAAAACAATAACTGCATGCTAGATGTTCAATTATATAGACATTACCCCTATATTTACTCTATGACATTAGATTAGACATCTTCACATTAAACATAATATGTCACATCACATCACATATTATGTATGTGGTTATAGTGATGGCGAAAAAATATCGATATTTTTGGCCGATATATTTTGATCCGATATATCGATATAAAAAATTGAATATCCCACTGGAAGTAAACCTACAAAAACAGTGGGATGTTCCTTTGGTGCGGAGAGTACAGAGAGATACGTTTCAATCTTTAGAAAGTAATTTAGAGCGTGCCCGTTTCCTAGGAGTCTCATCTAAAGAATCGAGTTATTGGCTTCACGCTTTACCATCAAGTCACTTAGGCACATTACTTGACGATGAAAGCTTACGCATTGCTGTAGGAATCCGTCTGGGGGCACCGATTTGTCAACCACACCAATGCCCTTGTGGTGTCAGTGTAGACAAATTTGGTCTCCACGGGCTTTCTTGTCAAAAAAGTGCTGGCCGTTTTTCTCGCCACGGTTCCCTGAACGACATCATCCGTAGGGCTCTTGTTTCCATCAATGTTCCATCTATTTTAGAGCCCTGTGGCATTTTACGCGACGATGGTAAGAGACCCGACGGTTTAACATTGATCCCTTGGGAGAGAGGCAAAGCCCTTGTTTGGGACGCCACTGTGTAGACACTTTGGCTGCGTCTCATCTAAGGGGTACTTCGGTCAGGGCCGGGGCGGCATCGGAGGCAGCTGAAGTAAGTAAATGGCGCAAATATGAGTCTTTATGTTCAGATTATGTATTTGTGCCATTTGCTGTTGAAACTCTAGGTCCGTGGGGTCCCCGCACATCAATTTTTTTTTTAAGTTTATGTCCTAGGCTTACCGCCGTGGCTGGTGACAAGAGAGCTGGTTCTTTTCTCGCTCAAAGGTTAAGCATAACTATTCAGCGAGGAAATGCAGCTAGCGTTCTTGGCACCATGCCGCGTGGATTAGGTTTATTACATAATATGTAATTTTAGATAGATTTAATCTTGTAAATATTAGATCAATAAAGATTGTCTTTTAGTAAAAAAAATTATATATAGATTAAATGAGATTAAAATACCTAAAAAAAAATTGAATGTCGAAATCGTATTAACGAATATGAACAATGAACGATGAACGATATTTTTATTCAAACTGATTCAAAGCCGTAAAAGATAAAAATGAACGGAAAAAACTGTGGTCAATTACTAGTATTGTCGCGGATGCATAGTTACATTTTATAGTATAATTATGGTATTTAATACTACAATTTGATGCTTCGTATTTTATACTATCCAATCTTTGGTACAACATGGTATAGACATGGTACAAATCATTAATATTTAACTACATATTATGTTAATTTATAAATAGCATGCAAAATATTAATGGCATTAACTATAAGTACTTTAATTTAATATGTAAATAAAGTTAACAAAAATTTATTTATAATCAAATTCTCAATAATTAAATGTAACATAATGTAATATCGAGTTTTCATAAAAAAATATTTAACGTCATAACAATTATTATCATTAACACCACATACATAAGTAACTTCTTTAAATTGTCGTTTAGCATTTTCATGTCAATCAAACAACTATTACTAAATTCTGTTGATCTAGGCCTGTCTTTGACAAGTCTCTGCAGGTTTCTTTTTGACCCATTATTAACTTCGTTTTAGACAATTCTCTATATTAAAATATGTAGAAAAAGTGCGAAAAGTTTGTCGCCGCTGTGTGAATCGAACCCACGTCTTCGGCATTCGCGGCCTGACGCTCAAGCCACTGAGCTAAAGGGCTGATTGCCACACCGACGAAAATCTTAACGCATTCTTCTAGATTGTTTTCATAGCATTTGAAGCAATGCTTGGCGCCATCTATTGTTATATCCTTTCCAGCACACAAACAATTTCGAATATCGTTTTACAACGATAATTCTAACGAGAGATGTCGCCATTGCTTTTTTAGAAATTTAAATTGTTAATAGTGCTAATCTTTGCACTTAAGATCGAACATTAAAATATGTAGAAAAAGTGCGAAAAGATTGTCGCCGCTGTGGGAATCGAACCCACGTCTTCGGCATTCGCGGCCTGACTCTCTAGCCACTGAGCTAAAGAGCTGATTGCCACACCGACGAAAATCTTTCGTTCGAATCTTAAAACGATATTCAATTTTCTAGATGGCGCCAACGCAATCAGCCCTTTAGCTCAGTCTCAAAACGATTCCCACAGCGGCGACAATCTTTTCGCACTTTTTCTACATATTTTAATGTTCGATCTCAAGTGCAAAGATTAGCACTATTAACAATTTAAAATTCTCTATATTTTTTATTTCAAAGTTACATGTTTTTTTAATTAATTATTTTTTATCGATTCAGGGCTTAAAAAACTGATTTATCTTACTAAATAAGCTGTTTATTTTTTTTCCAATGAAGGTCTTGATAAATAAAATACCTAGAAATTTAGATTAATAAAAGAAATTTGATTAAAATTAATAAATAATTAACTTTTTATTAAAATTTCTCATTCATTTAAATAATGTGAATTTTGTATAAAAAATACTATTACTTATTATTGAATCAGACTGAATTAAATAAATATAAAAGATAAAAACGTGTACGAGCGTCAGAGCCGCGAATGCCGAAGAACGTGGGTTCTTTCCCACAGCGGCGACCTTCGTTTCGCACTTTTTATACATATTTTTAATGTTCAGAGCAACTATAGCAAAGGATGATAAATTGGAAAACGGAAGATTAAAAACTTATTTCTAATTAATTATTTACAATATTGAACACGGCGGAGAACGCGTATTTATTTTGCTTCGTTCACAAATGTCACGTCACTCACTTCGCTAACCAACAATAACTGCTGAATTTTGAACTTTGGGCAGGTCAGTATTAAGCGATCCAGGTAGACATTTTCTTCTGTACAATGGAGATATTGAGAACTGGTAAAGATCTTGATCCTGTTTATGTGTGTTGGAATCAAGCACTGTCCAAGGCGCATACGGGAAATGACCATTATAAAATTCCTGCTTTTGTATTTGAACCTCTCATGCCAAGGTTTGCTTCGTATGTTCTTCTAAATATCTGCTAAATATTTTCCTTTAGTCTGTATTGTGATATTCCAATAATCCTTCCATAATTGGTGTAAATGTACTAAATACTATAATAGTATTCGGTACATTGATAAAAAAATATAAAGTTATAAATTCTTATATCAATGATTCAGTATAATCACAATATAATTTAGCACAATATTCAGTAATGTAATTAATATAATTTACCAGAATATAATAATAGTAGATAAATTTTAAATTATTTTAATGATAAAATTTTAAAATAGAACATTTTGAGCCTAATTACATTGAAATCTATTTAGACTTTACGATCGATTTTGAAAAGGAAAAAACTACATGAACGAAAAACTGAATGATATAAAATTATTCATTAGCAGTATATGTATACGCTGGCTTGTCTTTCACGTATATTCCCAAAACCTATTTGCAAAAACTTCAAGTAGCGCATACAAATCCATCCACATTGCAACCGGAACAAAGTACCAAAGAAACGGCGACATGCACAGCGATTAGAGAATGCCGACATTACTTGACCACTTAATAGAAATAACAAAATACCATTCGATAAAGAGGACATTCGTACGTTGAGCCCACCCGATTTCCGGAGTCCCGCCTGACAACATTACATCTACACATAGTGGTAGCATACAAGACGAATTAGTTTGTCCTCGCTTACAAGCAAGGCCAACCAAACAATGCTTACACGTGGTACACCCAGGGTTAGCAATACCCCAAAGCCAACTTTTAATAAAACCAATAGTTAAATCCAATAGAATAACCGTCAACGCGTTTATTAGCGTGGTGCTATAATATCATGAGTAAGCATGGCATCTATTAATTCATGCCTAACACCCACATGAATTACAAACATATTACTAAAATTCACCGCAACAAGATAAATAATCATACCCTCTTGTTACTCTAGCGCCATTCTGGGGGAGTGGGGGATTTGAAAGTCAATTTCACGTGAAAGTCAAAGACGAGACGTCAATTTCACGTGAAAGTCAAAGACATTTAAAGTCAATACCATTTTATATTACATAGATACATCCGTGAGAATTTTTTTCTTATTGCTATAGTTACGCTATCATTTTTATACCTTTTGAATGAAACTTTTAAACTGTGAATGAATGTTTGCCGTCCGTACCTGATCACTGTTAGTCTCTGCTGTAGTCTGTCTGTTTAGAAATAGGAACACTTTCGACCGGTGTTTTTGTATGTCATTAATATCATTTAAAAATAACTATAAACCATAGTATTACGTTACTTTAAATCTTTAGTATTTAAAATATCATTGTTTAAAGTGGATTTTTTATGTAGTTCATGTACCCCCATGCGACAGTAACCACTAACCAGTGACTGCTCCTTCCATAGATAAGACATATATACTGGCTCCTTCTCCTTACCTTTAGCCTCCAAGTCCATAGCATTTCTATATTATGGTCCATATCCATAGTAATAATTAATAAACAAAAACAAAATGTTTATTGTTTTGGTTCACAGCCTTCAGAGGTTATGTTCTGATTTTGAATTATGATGTAAAAATAAATAATAAATATTGCAATGATGTTTAGACACAAAAATATTTTATTGTCACTTTTTTTCTATAAAAATTCTACGAAAAGCTATCATGGAGTACCGTTTCTTAATTTTTATCAAAAAGTTACAGGTAAATTATGTTTCTTCGCCTTAGAATGTAATATACGCTTTAAGTATATTATTACTAAATAGATTGAATAAAAAATAATGACTTTAACCAATTATATACATCTTTTAGGGCAAACGATATCAAATGACATCCGAACCGTTTTAAAGAAACGACATCCAAACATTGAAAAGATAAGACAAGAGCAAATTGAATATGTGTTACAAATTTTGGCTAAATTTGGAATTACAGCTCATGATGCTTGCAAAGATCCTCATGTTTTCTCCATGAATCCAATAAGCATGGACAATTATGGAGAAATTCTTAAAGAATGTGGTTTCAGTAACATTATTCCTAAATATATCATAAGGTAGGATGAGAAAAGTTTGTCAATAAATATTATTGTAAAATGATATTGTATTGGATGTAATTAAATGGCCACAGCTTTTTATATCAGGTACAATAATTCTGTATATGTTTTAAGTCTGTTAATAATTCTGTACCTGTTTTAAGTGGTAATGGAGAAAAACGTTTAATACCTTTTGAATCTATAACAGATTTCAATACCATGGTTATAACATTCCTTATTAAAACAATTAAATATGGGTATTAAATGAACAACTTTTGGAGGAGTGTCTGTATGTTTATTTCTTTATTAAAACATGAAAACATTTAATAATATTTTTCCTTTAAGGTATCACACAATAGTGAGATCAAGGACTATAGCCAATTTAAAAAAAGAAGGACTTTTAAAATATGACCTCAATTTAGAAGAAGCTGTACAAAGCTGTTTTGTAGACTGGCCTGAAAATAAAAAGGTTTTAAAAAATTTTTCTGATTCAACTACGTCAATATGTATGTTGAATTTTTGTATTTTTATGACACATTACTTTTTTGCCTTATATATTTTAGAACTCATTTTATTTATTTTAATTTATAATGTATTTTATTACCGATTATTTTTTCCATGTTTTTTGCTAATTTTACTGGGCAAGGTATTCATAATGGGGAAATTTCATATAGTGCAATCTCACAAAGTTTTAGTAACTCAAAAGTTTACAAGATGGGGCTATATGACACTAGAAAAATTAAATTAAAAATGTGCTTTTTATTAAAAAAATTTTTGTTCAAATTGGTATTTTTTGTTTGTTATTGTGGATGAAATTATGCAAAATTGCATTTTTTGAAAAATACTTTGTAATCATCTGTTTTCGAGATACACAAAATGTTCAAGAATTGCTTGTTTCAGTTATAAGATTTTAATAAAGGATCATTTCTAGTATAACTTCAAAAAAATGTTAAAAATCGTTATAAATTTATTCCTTATTATTGTGATGCAGTAACAGTGAGAACAAGTGTGTTGGAAAATTACCTGCAATGGAGGTTATCAATAACTGAAGATGAATTCAAAGGGTTTTGCAAAAATTATTTGCCATTGCGCCATAGACCAATGTGTGATATAAATGAAGCATTAAATATAGCACAGAATGAAATAAAATTTGACATAGACAGCATACGGAGGAATGGTTTTATTATATCTTCCGACCCAGTGAACACAAAGCTGATACTTCAAAATGTGGACTCATTGGCTGGGTATGACATTCGAGATGCCATAAGAAGCGAACCCGCCATTTTGAAAAATAACTACAACTCATTATTGGAAATAAGGAGGATATTAGATGTAGGTTTGTAAATAAATTATTTATAGTTCATATCAGTATGAATTCAGTCACAAATTTTAAAATATATTTCTTTAAGGATAACAGAATAAATCAGGAGGCACAGCGGCGATGTTTAAGAGTTTACTGTATGCGTCCTCAAACAGTTAAAGAAAGGCTGGATGAACTAAAACAGTTAAAAGAATACCAGATTTTATCAACAAATCCTCGGGTAAGTCCATAAAGTCTGACACAACTTATTATCCAGTATATCCTTATTGCAACTAACAGATATCTACAGAGCATAGACAATATTCATTGTCTAGTCGTTGATAATAGTGAGAAGGCAGGAATCAATTCATGCAATTCCTGTGCACTCTCCAAAATGCATCTGGGTAAAAATCGTGCGGCTGGATACTCTGTACCTATTGCATGAGGCTGTTCATAACGGATTGAACTAAGTTTAAACCTTTGCGTCCTTAGATGAGACAGAACAGTACTTGGCCGAATATGACAACATTAATCCTTACACTATAGATATAGTGTAAAGACTAATGCACATTATAGCAGCAGGGTAGCAGGTGCCCTGATTTATTAGTAACTAGCTGCTGCCAGCAACTACGTCTGCATAGAATAGGCTGAAGGCGTAACATTCAGACAGATAGACAGATGTACATAAAAATATGTATATAAATTATAGCCCATGTGATATTCTGATGTACAAGCTATATTAATGTAAAGTTTCATTAAAATCCTAACATCTATCCATACATACAAACTTTCGCCTTACTTATAATATTAGTAAGGATGAGAAGATACTGCAGTGGTATCTTCTTTACATACATAATGTTGGGAGCTTGCTGATAAGGCCAAGTGTGAAATCTCATTAACGGCCTTTGAGATATTAAGGAAAACATCGGCCCTCGCCCCGAATTTGAATGGCGTTCCAAGATTTCCGATGGTGACCGATTTCGTCGAAATCGGTCGCAGAGGACTTTGCGCCTATACTTTGGATACATTCGGAACTAGCATTCTAAAATGCCTTTTTGTGCGGCATGGAAGCCCGTTTAAATACTTGCTTCTTGCAGTTAACACCTGGAGCGAAGTTAAGCTTCGGCCCATGATAGGCACGTTGAATGTTTAGCGCTGAAATTGTTAATTCCAGTTTTAAGTTTTAATCAGTTCTGTATATGCTCCAAAAAATTAACAAGGAAAATAACTACGAAATATTTAAGTACTTATGTACGCGTATGAGAAGTTCTACTTCTTTGACATCATTAGAAAATTGTTTTTAGTTGCATGAAAATAATTGATTTTCATAAAATAATAAAAAGACTAGAAAATGATATAAATAATAAAAATAATGCAATTATGAAAGTGCCATCTACATTATTTATTGAGAACTGTAACGGGCTAATGAGACTGTGGCCCTATACCTATACCTTCTAGAAGAGGATGCTTTTACGCAACAGTTGTTCCTTCCATCGCCATCAAAGAAAGAACGTCAAATGCTACGCCGTAAGATGAGCCGCATTTGCCTAAATTTACCTATAATTTATATTTTTGTATTAATTTACATGTAATCTATATATGTTGGTTTTCGAAAATACATGTTCAAATATAGACTAATTCTGTGCCATTGTTTTCTTTAGGTTTTGTCTATGGTAGTGCATAAAAGGAAAATGATGTCGCGGCTAGAGAAAATTCAAACCGCAAAGAAGCAGTGCTATAGTTTAAATCACCTAATATCTTCCAAAAAAGTATTCAACAGGTAAATTCTGTGAACTAGTAACATTCTTAAATTATAAATTTATGAAATCGAAATATGTAATATGGATCAACTATTCAAAATTGCTTTTCAGCTATATCACCAGTTTTGGCAATAAAGTTTGCGGGAGGGATATTGCAGTACTTATAGCAAGTTCTTTCCAAATGAAAAGAAACATGAGTGATGAAAATGTGTCTATGAAAAAAGATGAAAATGAACGAAGTAAATTCATGAGAGCTGTTTTGAAACAATTAAAGAGACATAAGTACTGGTTGCATTCATCGCTGTATATAATAAACGAGAATATTCAGTACTTAAATAAGAATTTCTACGGCAACGTTATCGTGAATAATTGTCAAATACTCCTTTATCCACTGTAAGTTATTTACTTAGTACTGTCCCGTTAATTTCTGGATGGTTCGACATGAAGTAGGTAATTTCATTTGTTTTTAATCTATTGTAGAAGGTAGCGAACGAACAGATTCTTCGCCTGATGTTTAATAATCACCGTCATTGACATCGACAACACCCGTTTGCAGTCGCTTTGCCAGCCTTCAGAAAACGGGGTTTTCTTAGTAGCCGAGGGAAATGCTAAATTATAAATACCTCTACGCCCATCTCGTGTGAGACTTTTTCGCATGTAACACATTTCTAGTTCGTGCAACTATTGAACCTGTTGCGTGACTTTATTACAGAAATCGAAATGGATATTGGATCAACATAATATCATTTTATAAACCCTATATTACTAAAATTGAGTCCATGGACAAAAAAGAAAAATATGGACAAGATGAAAAAGTATACTGTGTCTGTACCTAAGCTCCTAATGTCCCAAATGTTTTTTTTTTATTTACGTATTTACGTTTTCTCTTCGTAATATCTAATCCGACCAGTTGCGATTGAGTTATTCACCACATACTCAAAAAAAGCTTGATATCTCTGACAGCCACTATATTACAATTGAGTTTTGGCTTGCAGCGCTGAAACGGAACGTTATTTCGAGTTTTTCCTAAGAAAACGAAGCCATGGCATCGAAGATGGCAACATTGACATTGATTTGGAGGGGAGCTACAACAACTTGAACTACGGCAAACTAACGGACGATCAGATATTGAGTTTGGTGCTGTACGAAATTGAAAAGAAATACCACTTTACCGGTGACGGAATTTGGAGTAGACATGATGGTGTTAAAGCTGAGCAAGTACAGCATAACTGTCCTTAAAAATGCTTAACATGTCTATTAACACAGAACTGAATAAGTATAGGATAGCCGAATTTACCGTCAGTAAATAGACCGTCTCTCAAGTTTAGACACTGATTTATTTTTGTTGGTCAGGTGCACTTTTATTAAGTTTATATATTTTATTAAGTCAATCTAAGCAAGAACTATATCTAAAGTATATCGCGTTCACGTCTCCATCAACGCCAATATAAATATACAGGGAGGCTGTTTTAATGGTGCCCAAATTTACACAGGAGGTTCAGACTCGGTAGTATAATCGTTTATTGAAATAAAAACAAACTTTTTTTTCCAAACAAATTACCATTCTATTCCCTAAAAAACAGAACTTGTTGACAACGCGGTAGTCATTCATAAATACTTAAATTTTACTGTTCACGCACACAAACGAACTTGTGTGCGTGTTAGTTATGAATGATCGCGCGTAAAATAAATGAGTTGCGTATAAATCACGCACTTTTTGAGATAAGTTCAAATGAATGTAATTAATTACTTACGAGTGATTTAAAATATTGATCATTTTATATAACATTATTTTTGTCTAGAATTTAATAAAAAAAAATGGATACACTTAGAAAAACCTCCCTGTATACCTAAAGTTTTGATAGTTTATTAAATCCATTGTCGTTTTATTTTATATTGTATTAGTAAATAACAAATATTATGATGAATAAGGCAAATAACAGTTGAATAAGCAGATTTTTTTAATATTTTTATTTTCAAAATACGGAGTACACTTCATTTTACGATGGCCTAACTATTTTCTTTATTGAATTTATTTCACAAAATAATCCTTTCAGCACATGAATACATTTTCATGGTTATTATTATGCATAATATATGGTGTTTTTATTCAATTCAAAATTAATTTACCCTGCAATTTTGATAATATATCTGAACTAAAAATTTATATTTCATTTTAGTTTATGATCGTTATAACTTGCTCCCTATTATAAGAATAATCTAGTTTTACTATATGTATTTTAATTATATTAAAAACATTAGAAAAAGCTATTGTATACAAACTATTCCGTCGTATCTACAATTCTCGGTACTAAAATTAATAAAATTTGGCACAATATTCACGTTCATTTTCTTTATTTTACTTTATTCTATTTACACATAATTACTGTTTGGTACAAGACATCATTTAACACATATACAGGTGTTGCTTAATCCAATTGGTCCTAGGGTATAAAAACTTATTGCTTACATATAAAAAAATAACTTATAATTAATTAACTTTTCAAACAGCGTCATTATCGTACCTACTTGAGGAAATTGTCCAAAAGTACACTGCACACGAAACAATCAACTTTGAAACAGAGACAAATGACTGTCTCAAAATAAAAGTAAGTTGTACCTATACGTCTAGCGTATTAAAAATTTTGCATTGAAATATATCGATTGGTAGGCAAAATAGTGCAATGTTGATAAACACTAAACTAATTAGATGGAGAGATAACCTGTGCAAATGTGCGGAAAGCCGATGGATTCAAGTTGCTCAGGACCGTGTTTCAAGATAGATAAGGTCTGGGTCTGGGTAATTCAGGCTGAAATGATAATGTTGACACTACACTATGCGACAAAAATTTATTAAAACAAATTAAAAAGTAATGTAGCGAAATGAAATATAACTTACAATAAGTAAAGAAAATGAATAAAATAAGTATTTTCTTAAAAGATATTACTAATTGTATAAAATTAATCTTATAAAACATGTTCGCAATTTACTATATTTTACAAAGCGCGTTTGGAAAATCTCAGCCAAAAGTACTCTTAGAAACTACAAATGCCAAACACTACATTAATACTATTCTAGACCTTAATTTTAATAAGGCACAAAGAATGCAAAAGAATAGGTAGTAGGTATATAAAACTATCGTGTATTAATCAATGCAATATTTTAAGTTTTCAAATAAACAAAATCATTACTTTTATTGTGACAAATAATTATGTACACCAATGAATATTTACATATTTCGTATAAAGATTGGATAAACAGATGTAGCTAGATTCTACAATATATCAATTATATTGTAAAGCGTATATGAAAACATTAGTTATAAAAATATTTTGTAAGAAGTTTTTTAAATCACTTTGGAATAAAATTCGTAGTGTAAAAAAAATTATTTTACGGTGACACGCATTTTATCCCAAATTAATCTTTGCTCTATTATGGATCTAAAGTAAAGATACGCATTTTAACTTGCTCATTGCTTAAATATAGTGTCTTTTATCATCTAAAATGTAAAAAAAAAAACATTAAATTGTTATCTTAACTTTTAAATTTTAACCGCTATATTATTTTTGACACAAAATACACAAAAACTTATAAGATTTTCGAAAAATACATCGTTCCAAATACTCCTTTTCGAAATTATTCCTAATCCTAGGTTAATTTCGAAAAGGAGTATTTCAATTCAAAAAAGGAGGCAGAGATGTATACGCTTGGCTGGGACTGGGTTCCATTTTGACCACTACGGGAGAAGCAAGTTCAGAATGTCGATCCATTTCGTAGTGTTTATCGTGTGGGATCATGCCACATTTCTCATAGTCTTCTGGTGGAGCTGCGTAGCGTGGGGGCTCCTCTTGCAGTGCACACGCTGAATACTTGTCTTCGTGTTCGTGGCTACGGTAATCCAACTTATCATCGTGAGCATGACCTTCCATTTGTGGTGAGTGAGCAGCTATCATTGGGTAATCGCGGACGCCTATCGGAGGCGGACTACCTTCGCCATATTCGTAGGAATGCCTGGGTGCAAACATTTGACCGTCGTGGCCGTTTAGAACCGTCGTGTAGGAGTACGCCGCTGGTTGAGAATTAAATCCGGGGTAGCCACTACCGCCAGACGACAGTAGATGATGTGAAGATAGCTCGTACGAGTGCTGGTAAGACCAGGAATCAGCGGGAGCTGGTAGACCGTTCTGCGGGAATGTTGGTAGATTGCCACCGATACCAGAAAATCCTCCGCCTAGTGTAGTAGAACTCGGAGAACTAGAACCGATGTACCCTGTTTTTCTTGGAGGTTCCCGTTTGCGCCATTTTGCTCTTCTGTTTTGGAACCATACCTTAAAAAATTGTAAGAATATAAAATGAAGAATGTTATTATATACATTTGAAAATTTGCTCTTTATATAAATATAGCAAATACTTATGGATGCAAATACTCAATAGATGAATCAAAAAGTTGTTCTACGTTTGCTTTGTTTTGTTTATGTTCGTTATTAATTTATTTTATTTTTACCTGTACACGTGATTCCGATAAATTTAATTTGAGCGCCAATTCTTCCCTCGCAAACACATCAGGATACGGTGCTCGTTCGAATGCTCTCTCTAATTCTTCCAGCTGATAGGCAGTAAATGTCGTCCTAAAAATAATAAATCATTTTATATTTTTTTAAATAAATAAAAAAAATAAAGTATTTGCTTTATTCTCTTCTCATTATACCAACTACTTTTTTAAGAATCAGGTTTCAACAATAAATATTCAATGCCAGTTGTATTAAGTTGAAATAATAATATAGAAATGCACGATGACTCCGTGGCGCATTTGCCAAGGTATTGGCTTCGGCGTCGGGGTTCGTGGGTTCGAGCCCCACACGGGACAACTATTTGTGCGATCCACAGATATTTGTTTCGCATCTGTGTGTTTGTCCACGTGAAATTTATGTTTGTAAAACGTCCTTACAACTTAGGTTAATGTTATCCTAAAGTAGGGGCAACGTTTTAAAAAAAGTAATAATAGGGACTCGTAAATATTGTTACAATTTCAATGAAGTCAATGTAGAAATTGATATGCAAATCGTTTTTATCAGTCGGCAGTGCATCAAACATCTGACGCGTGCAATATGGCTGCGGGTTGCACGCGCTGAAATTGATTGAGCGTGAAACTAAATTCACCCCTGACGCGCGCCACCACTTCTAATTGCCTGCCAATTGATGGTACTTGATGGAATGCAGTTTTATCTTATTCATTATTAAAATTACAAATTATGAGCATACGTGGTACACGCTACTATAAAATTCTTTAAAATTTGTTACACTTACAATTTAAATTAATCTAATTGGTTATATTTTTTTTTCGACACAATGTTTTTGTCGTATAAGCAGACTGAAAACAGGAACGAATTAATAAGTTTTAAATTAACTTAATCTAATTCAAATGATAAAGTTGTTTATAACGAAAAATAAATAAATAAATTTTCAACGATTATAAAATTAAATATAGTCGTAAAAGAGGGCGTCATAAAATGGATCGATTGCAGGGGTGTAAGAAATAGCGTCGTTACACCGCTAACACAGTATTTAATAAGCTGGTAAGATCCCTTACGTAAGTGGGCTGTTAGATGATGCGATAAGTCAATTGACTCCCCGCGGACATACGGGTAATTAACTTCAGCAAACTATGAGTATAACGCTTATTTATTAAACACGAAAGACTTTCATCGAGGGATTTCATTGTGTGATCTTTTGTTGTAAGTCTTCTTAACTTGAACAAGGAACTTTTTTACAGCTCAAAAGATGGATCAATTAACACGGTAAACGAAATATTCAATTATGATTTGTATTTCTCCTTATTCGTTGTATTCGATTTCGGTAGTTTAAAATTTTATTATTTACAATCATAATTCTCGTAAAGTTTGAACTGCACCATATGTCATGATGTATTTTAGAAACTCATCGTATTAGTTATGCAACCCAACAACATGAGAAGGGTGTCCACCGTCCATACAATGCATTCAGAACATAATGCGAATGTTTTCGTTAAAAATTTAAATGTTTGAATATTAATTGAGAAGTATAGTATTATACGAGTACATTTGTGTTAATTGTAAATGCTTTTACTGTATTGTTAGTAACATAAGAAACGGTTTATGTACTTGTAAAACGTTTGCAAGCATCATTAGCATCATTAGCTATATATAAATAAAATGATGGAGATTTACTGTTCTACGCGCATTGCGTCTGTTAGATACATTTCTATTAATTCTTCTAATTTTTATATTTTAGACACTTTGCCCTTATTTAAAAAAAAGTTTTGTGATATCTTCATTTCATGTAAAGTTATTAAAGTTTTAAAATACAACGATTTCGAAGTTGGGCAAGCGGTGTAGTTGTTAATAGAATAAGGAACGCAAAAGAAGTCGCGAGCTTCAGCTAGTTCTGATTAAAATCTGCAGCGAAATTGCTTACACTCATTAGGTCAATATATGTGAAGATAAAATTGCAACAAATTGAAATAAATTTAAAACACAAGTCGCCTACTCTTTTACTTTTAACGTTTTAGAAAACCTTTTTCTGGAAGTTTTATTGCTTAGGAAAAGAACTGGAACTTATTATTTCAGTTCGTTTTTCATATACATGAAGTAGCAATGGCTCTTCCCGAATGTTCATTGAACGATTTTCCACGTAGATGACGAATTTTAAAAAAAATGTTTTCATTGTGTTCACTGCTCACCTATCTACATAACGTAACTGCAATGTTTCATGCTTTTATACTAATTTAATTAATCTTTGTCTGTAAACCAATGAGTATAGAAATTACAGTAACTAGACTTGAAATCTCTTAACAATTACTCTTACAAAATGAAACTATGTTTACGGATTTATCGCGTTTATTTTGGTTTTAATACCCGACGTTTCGAACCCTTTACAGCGTTCATGGTGCTCTGGTCTGTCCCGTGATGTACTGTTCATTTAGTAATGTGTAATCAAGTAAATACAATAAATTATTAAATAATTTTTACACAAAGTTTACTAGGAAAATAAATAATTTACCTACGAGAAATGTAAAATAGTAATAAAAAAAAATATTAAAGGAAAATGAAGTACTTTTTCAACTTATCGCTCACACTGTCTCACTGCTGGGCGCGTAGCAGAAAATGAAAGACGAGAGCGAAGATTTTCTCCCTCAAATACATACAAAGGATACGGTATACGAGTAAGCACTTAATGGAACATTACTCACCTAGTTTTCTTCTTCTTTATTCCATTATTATCGTTCTTCTTTTTGTCACTCTTCTTCGTAGTCGGCTGCGGCGGCGGTGGCGGGTGTGCGGTGTGCTGTGGCGGGGCGGTCTCCACCGCTTGCAGGAGTAGGGGCTCCTCTTTTCTCTTTTGGTCAGCGCCGGCCGTGAACACCGGGATCTCGTCGCGATACTGGAGTTCGCCGCTGGCACCGACCACGACCTGCACGTGGCGCTCCTTGCCGAAGTCGCCGAACATGTGCTCCTCGAAGGTGGGCTGCTCCATTGCCGCCGCGGCGTCGTAGGTGCATTCGTAGCGCGCGGCGCCGCCGGCGCTGTCCCCGCAAACGTACATGTAGCCCTCGGCGGCGGGCGGGCGCGTGCCCGCTACCTCCGCGCCCTCTCTCGGCTCCGTCGCGGCGGCTGGGCGCACCTCTTCAGCGGCGTCGCTGCCGCTGCCGCTACTGACGCGCGCCCCGTACCAGACCAGTGCGACCGCGGTCGGGGCAATCGTTTATCGGCGCCGATATTAAACAATTTAACTCATTTAACCGAACGCACGGGATCGACGCTCGCGCCGTTCGTATCCTCGTGCCCGTGCCGGTTAAATGGCTTTAATCAACTTTAACGAACTAACCGAATTTGCCCTACGGTTGGTCAATTTATATTACCATAACACTGCGCTCGACAGAGACGCTGAGCCAATGATTGCGGCGGTCGGGTCCGTCGAGTGCGGACGCTCGAATGATAATTTCGTTCGTAGCGCGGGGGCCGACGTGAGATATTGCATCGTGTGTGTTGGGCGCTTATGACTGTGATATTGAGCTAAGGGGGAGCCAATAGCGAGTGGGGACGGCCACTCCCCCAGACGGAGAACCCCTGGAAGCCGCGCGGCGCCGCTGCGATCTGCGGGCTGGAGATACGGCGGCTACATTGCCACCGAATACACCATGCGGGATTCCCACAAACTCACCCGACATTTTGTTTGTTCCTACACTATAGGGCGCGAACACCCACATCATTATCATGAATGTCTATAACGCTTCATTGTAAATCCGTATCAAAGCTACTTGTATGTCAAACCCACGAGTTACAATCGTGGGAAATTTTATTGTACCCGATTGAAATGTGACCTAATCGAACTCAACGTCGGCTTATTAGGTTAACATTTATGAAAGATAGAGTAGATGTTGCCTATTTGAGGATATATTTAAAAGAAGAGGAAAAAGGCAAGAGAGCAGCAAGTCGTGCTCTTCGCCAATTGCGCACGCGCACTGAAGCCAACCATCGACGCGGCGATCGCTTAATTATTAATTAACTGTTATTGTTGGGGATTATTAATAAAACATTCGCCCTGACTATTGGCACTTAGATTAGCGTCGAGGGAGTAATGGCGCATTTCAACAATTTCGGTTGTTATTTAATTGAAGTCAATTTAGATGATCAGAGTCTATTTAGGTTGGTGCTGGCGCTCGCCAACGGGATCTCTGCTTCATTGGGCTTATTGGTGACTTTCAGACAACACGAATTGCACTCGCTGATGCACTTCTCGGCGCATTTGCAGTTCGTGGTATAGCGAAAATACGAGTCATTAAGATGCATCTATTCTTCTGGCTGACTAGCGGCTTGGAATTAGAAAACCGTAAATTATGGCAAGAAAGCCTAGGCACGGACATTATGGTGCAGTGAATTTGTGATATATATCATGGAATCCTGCTTAGTGATACCTCAGGCTATTTGTGTTAGTGAAAATTCGAGTGTGCGAACTCTGTTGCTCTGAGATGATGTAAGTCTTTGCACGACGCTACGCAGGTGGACGTTACTTCAAAAGTGTAAGTATTTTGTAAATATCATTAGTGTTGCACAAAATGTAAATCTCAGAATAGATAAAATATTATACTACTTGTCTTTAACTTTAATTAAAGAAAAACTAAAACTTAAAACCTCTGCAACGACAAATAGAGGAAAATTTGAATTATAGAAATTTATTATTTCCTGTGATTGAAGATTAAATTAATGAAATAAGTATTTCTTTTGTTAGATGTTACAGATTTTTAATGAGAGATTGTTTCAAATATGTTCAAATCGATATCCCTTCTACCGTCACTCATACTTAAGTAGTAGCTTTGGGAAATATTTGGGAAATGTTTGCAATCTCCCCACTTCAATATTTGTAAGAACGCAAAATGCCCTAATACAGTAGTGAAGCTTCTAAAAATAGTGTTATTAGCCATGTGTTATGTTAAAGAAGTAAAAATAATTTATGCCTTCATAACACCACAGTTTACCACAGCTTAGCTTAGCTATATATATGTAATTTAAATGTGCATTACTCGTACACTTACAAATGAAATGGACGTTTCAAATATATCATAGATGGTATAACGCATACGGCCTACCGATTGAATTTTCAATCACAAGCGAACTTTTACAACTTGGAATATTTGGTTTAGAATAGGTACAATCTTTGAAGCAATACGTTTGAGGAAAAACTACGATGTAATTTCTCCAACACTTGACGTTTTTGCACCATCTGTGATTATTAATCATTGACCTGGTCAAAGCTAGTTTAATGTTAAGCTTTTAACGCAAAACGTCGACTTAAATATTCCGCCAAAATGACATACAAAGCACATTCTTTTACTTTAGGCACACGCACTTACTTTAACATAAAAACAAATTGATGTTTATTAATACTTTTTCCCACTCGTATTATGTTGTTTTTTTTTAAATAACGTTAGTGCTTGGGATTATTCTTTATGCGTTAGACAAACGTAGTAATACTATTTTCTTACCTAACATACTAATATTCAGACACTCAAATGCGATCACTGAATGAACGCAACACAACATTATTTAGTCATGCGATATTATACAGATATCTATAACATAATATGTACAAAGTAATAATTAGAGGGATAAACGTAACATCACATTAAATAAGATTATTTATTCTGACGGCTATTATCTTGTTACACATATAGACATCCTAACGGATAGAAACTTCATCACATTTTTCTACATACATACATATTAGGGTGACTGTAAACTAAATCAATATTTGAATAATTATTTTTCAAAAGGTAAATTAAATAATAACTTTGTTGTAAGCGCAGAGCTCGTGGTTAAGCGCCAATACAGCAAAATACGACAACGCGCGACTGCAATGTGCAGTTGTAAGCTATATTATTAATGGTCTTATTACTAACTTCTTATTACACAATGAAAGAAGAAAATTAATTAATTCAAGGATATTCAAGAAGGGTAAAATTTTCTTTTTCTTTTATTGACGTTCGGCAAAGTTATTGCAACTTTTTTAGTGTTGTAAATATTCAGGCGGCGGTGATCACTCAACACCGGGCGGACTGCTTGCTCGTTCAGATTACATAGTCTTATCAGAAGGGAATTGGTTCATTAAAAGGACAAGTAAGATTCCCAGTATGCATAATCTTGTCCGAGAAAATATGCCGCCAAATAACACTACACTCTCAGTTAGTTCATCAACTAACACCATACTTCGTCCTCGCCTTCGAGCACGGCGAAACCAACACAACGCGTACACTAGGTAGCACCTAGTAGGTACACCCGCGTTCCAGGGCGGTCATCACCGCCCCCAGCCACCGACTAAACAAGCACAGTCAACGGCCATTGGGGTCACCGTCGTCACCGAACCTCGATGGCCCGTAGGCGACACGTCACAACTAACGCCCGCATGAGTACATGCGCGGCCCTACCCACTGAGGAGGGCCTCAAAGCCGTGGCTTCTGGCTAGCCCATCGGTTCCGCATTCGATGAAGCTTTAATAGTTTAAGAACTGAATGCGTAACATCAGTTATACAGAATACAAAAAAAAGCAAGAAAATATGTACTCTATCAATTTCCATTTCAATTTAGTCTAAATTGAATTTAGTATGAAACTTAGAAGTGCACAGTGCACAGTTCACACATTTTATTTTATATGATACTCGTAACTCAAAGTTTCGGTTTAGTTGCGCTCGTATTATGATTGTAAGTCGTAAGTAGTCTATTCCATAATATCAATACAGATAAATAAAATTGGAGGTTCTGTTTGTAATATTAAAATAATCGCTTTTTACTAAATGTATATGGTACATATGTATATATGGTACATACATACACATACACGGTACATATACCAAAATATTTTTTTACAATTTTCGTCTGTCTGTCGTTATTGTTCCGGCTAATCTCTTTAACGGCTCGACCGATTTGGACGGAACTGGCATATAGCTGATTTAATTAGGAGTAACTTGGACTACTTTTATTATAGATTTTTTTAAGCTTTTATCGCGGGCTTTGAGCGCGGCGATCGAATCAAGAAATTCCGTAACGAAAATAAAACCTAACACTGCGCCTACCATGTAGCTCGGCCGAGCATTCGCTTAACGTGTATGTATATGGTACGACTGTACGAAGTTCGCACGGATGATATTATAATATTATATTATCATATAATGATATGATATTTAGAGGCAAACTTATTTTCCTTATTTCAGTTACCATAAACCTATAGTTTTAATGATAAAAATTCCTGAATAACCTACATGTATTGTAAGATAATAAAAATATTAACTTCTCATTAATTAAATAAAAGAAAAAAAATTGTTTTCTTATCGAGCACCACGCTCAAAAAGTGTAACGTGTATTAATATCAAAGAAAAAATTAAAAATAAATAATTTTATTTGCATAAGTTGATAAAAAATGCTATGCAATCATCTTTACCGCGGCAGTCCCCGAGTGCCACAGTTGTTTTTATTTGTAATTCCACGCGGACGAAGTTGCGGGCACTGCTAGTATAGGAATAAGTATCGAGGTTGTATAAGCATCACGGAAAACGTCCTTATTATGAACTGTTATATAGAAATACAGATAAAAAAATACTTTTTATTACATAATTTACATTTTATTTACATAAGGACAACTATGTACATTACGCAAATTTTACAATTGTTGCCTATTTTTTCTCTCTCCGACTAATTTGGTTGCTTTTGAACGACCTTTTCTATATACAGAACTTCAAAACAAGAAAATATTGACTAAGAAAAATTTAAAACACCGTCCAAGTATCCACGACACAATACACGACCCATAATTTATAAAATGTCGAAAAGTCATATCTGTTGTATCTATGGCCCCACTTAAATAAACAGCCTGGTGACAGACAAACAGATAGACAGACAGCGGAGTCTTAGTAATGGACGTTTTACCCTTTGTAGTTAGTTAGGTAGTATATGTATGTGGTTCTCGCATGATATTAAAATTGACAATTAGAATATTTCGTCAGTTTAATACCAGTAATTTTGTTCACAATCGTGCTATGTCGCGAAAATATGAATAAAAATCGAGCACCGCGCTGTTGTTAAATTCCTGAGGAAACCAGTAAAAGCTCAAAAAAAAACATCCACGAAGACATGGTGGTCGTTTATATGGATTCCGTTCCTTCGTTGTTTACCATTCAAAAAGGTCAAGCGGATTCTTAAATCCGTTTTAAGGGATTGACGATGACCCTCGATCAAGTCTAAATGTCGAAAAACCTGTACTCGAAAATACTCGAATAAAAATCAATTTATTAGCAGAGATGACCAAGCTATCCGTAGGGACAATATATTCTATACTTCATAACTTCTTGAACCTCTCAAAAGCCAGCGCAAGATGGATGCCATGAATGCTTACATTACACCACCGTAGAAACAATTTTTGGAGTTTTGTGGTAAAAATCCTGTCAGTGTTTTCGATCGTATCATTACCGGAGACGAAGCCTGGGTTGGTCACTACGACCCTGACAGCAAACAAGAGTCAAAGTAGTGGCTCAAAAAGGCTGTCTTTTTTGAGCCACACCACCGAAAAAATTCAAAGTCAAGCAATATGCTTGCTTGATTTTGTAAGCATGGCCACAGTATACTTGGACTCGAAAGAGATTTTGCTTGTTGAATATATTAAAAAAAGGCCCAGGTATAACCGCAGTAGCTTACGCAACCACTATGCGTAATTTGAAGGAAGCAATTA